CCTGGCCCAAAGTCACAGAGCTGGTAAATGGTGGAGCTGCTTGATTTCTCACCAGGCAGTCGGATTCCACATCCCAAGCTCTTTAGCTGTGATTCTGGGACTGTGCTCAGCCAAGGGATGTAGAAAGCCCACCTCAGTGCCTGGCACACCGTAGGTGTTCAGGGAACTTGAGTTTCTTCCTTTGTATCCTTCTAGAATGTATCTGGAAGTGGAGGTCTCCAGAGCCCTGGCAACTACTAGTACTTCTCTTTCTATGGATTTCCCTATTCTGGATATTTCGTATAAATTGAAATCATACTACATATGGGCTTCTGCATCTGGCTTCCTGCAATGCAGCATGGTGTTTTTGAGGTTCACCCACCTTGGAGCATGTCCCAGAAGTTCGTTCCTTTTTAATGGCCGAATAGTATTCCATTGTATGGGTATAGAGCATGTTGTTTATGCATTTATCTGTTTCTAGAAATTCAGTTGTCCTCTACCTTGGGTACTGTGAATAGTGCTGCTATGGCCCCCCACTGCCTTTTATGGAAGCTTTAGAGGGTCCCTGATTCAGTTTGGTTTCAGGGTCTGTGACTTCTGATGTCCCCTGAGTCCTAGTCACAGGGCAAGCTCACCTGTAACCCTGATTGATGGCCCTGCTGAAGCCAGGAGGGAGAGGCCTGGAGCCTCAGATGAGAAGGGGACAAACTTAGGAGTCTGATGTACTGCTGGCACTGAGCTTGGCTCTGCATACTAAATCTAGTTTCATTTCTGCCAAGGGGGCAGGTAGAGAGTAGAAATTGCTGGTTCTATCTCCAGCCGCAAGCATCTGTTTTCATATCTCCTTCCTGTGCCTGGGGCCAGTGACACTAGCCAGGAAACTCTGCTGTGTGTCCTCGGGTTGCACACTCTGAGCCCCAGTGTTCCTATCTGTAAAGTGGGGATTATAATCCCTAGTCTATAGGGTTGTTGTGAGGATTAAGGTAAAATGGAATGCTTGCTTCCTTTCCTATGAGGATTTGGGGTGGCTGGGTTAGGGACCAGTGATGGAAGGGCACTTGTGTGCAGGTTGATTTCTGTGGATGCCGTGTTGATTAACAACCACCGGGGCCCTTCTGGATCCTTTTAGAAGGGGAAGGAGCTGAGGTTACTCTCATTGTCAAGTTTAGCTGTCACTGCTGGGAAGTTGTCCCCGGGTTCCTTTTTTCTTTAGTTAACTTTGTCGCTTGGCATATGAATATTTTGGAACTGGGTTGCAACCAATTTCACCTCCAGGTACAAGTAGACTTTGAGCTCATTTTAGAAATATGGGTTTTCTGTTGATTGTATTCTTTAAAAAGGTATTTACAAATTTCCCCCATGCTAGGGGTATTGTGGGGATTATTTGCAAAAGTCTTTTATTTTTTTTTTTTCCCCCTGTGGTCAGTGGAAGAATTTGGGACTCTGGCAGACCTGGGTTTGCATTCTGGTTTTACTTTTCTCTCATCAGCTCTGTGACCCTGAATCACAGATCACTGGCTTTTCACTTTCTTCATCTATAAAAATGAGAGTAAATGTGAAAAATAGCTACCTTGTGTCAAATACTGTTCTTTTGGTTTTCAACATTAGACAACCTGAATAAAGCTAGTTAAATGATAAGGGGTATTGCATCTCCCCAGGCAAGAAGTCTGGTGGTAGGACAGGTGTAGGAATGGTTGATTTAGTAGCAAGGATCCAGGTGTTACCCCCTTCTGTCATCAGCCATCCTCAGCAGGTAGGTGATTTCTCACCTCCTTGTCACACAAAGGCTGCGGCAGCTCCAGGCATCATGGACAGGTCTGATGAAGTCTAGTGAACTCGGATGGTATTTTCTTCCATGTAATTCCTTTTTATTAGAGAGGAAGCCCCCCCAACCCCACCCCGAAGACCCCTTGTGGATTTCTCTTAGGTCCTTTTGTCCTGTGTCTTATTCTGGGCTCTTTAGGTCCCCTGGGTCCTTTAGAAAGGATCAAATTGCTTTATTTGGGAAGTCACGCCCATGGGGGTCAAGATGAGGGAAAAGAAGGGGGAGGGAGGCCAGGAGGGATTGAAGCCATGTGGTGCAGTGTGTGCTTGATCTGGCTATTGTTTCACGCTGAGCTGAGAAGAGACGTGGCTGGTGTATTTGCATGGCACGTTTGGGAGGGCTGCCAGGAGAAAACGTAACCCACATTTGTCAAGAACACTTTTACTTTGCTTGCTGGAGTTTTTGGAAGGTGGAGGGAAGAAAGGGGACACTGATAACTTTTTTTTTTAAGACTTATTTATTTATTCAGAGAGAGAGAGAGAGAGAGAGAGAGAGAGAGAGAGATAAAGACACAGGCAGAGGGAGAAGCAGGCTCCATGCAGGGAGCCTGACGTAGGACTCGATCCTGGGTTCTCCAGGATCACTCCCTGGACTGCAGGCGGCACTAAACCGCTGCGCCACCTGGGCTGCCCTGACACTCATAACTTTTAAAATTAATCTTTAAACCTTCCTTAAGTCCTAGCGTATTTCTCACCAGTTGCATTACATGGGAATGCAGGATCTCTGGTGATTAAGACGTAGGCCCTAGAGTCAGACTCCCTGGGTTCAAGTCCAGATGCTGCAGCTCAGCAGCCCACAAGGGACCTGTTCCGACATTTAGGGTTGTTTGGAGCATTAGGTGAGTGAATATCTGAAAGCCCTTGGAACAGCACCGACCGAGTCAGGCTCTGTGCATATTGATGGTGACCCTTGCCCTTTGGCCTCTAGAGCTCAGAGCTGTTTGGCATGTGGTCTCAAGTAATGATAAGCAGCCAATGTTTACTGAGTCTAGGGCTGTATGGGACACAGATCGAAATGCACAGTCTTTGCCTATGTGTATGCCCTCATTTGACTTCCCCCACTGAATGGTTCCTACCCCAGGGGTACCTTCCATCTGTCCTCTGTGGTTTTCACCTGCCTCCCCTCTCCCTCCACTGTGAGCCCCGCACAGCACAGAGGCTATCAGCCTCTGTGCTGGGGCTTTACCCTGCGCTGAACAAATGCGGGGCGCCAGAGAAGTGCTTGTTCAGTGACTGGTCAGTGCTTTCTCCTCTACCTCTACTTCTTACCTTATGTCCTTTACTCTCCTAAAAACAGTTGAAGGGCAAGTCCAGATCATCAATGTTTGTAGGCGATATATGGACAGATGGTTGACCCAATGGAATCCAGTTTAGGATACAACCTATATAGGCGTAGAGGACAAGATAATAACATCGCAAGGGGCTAGAATGGGCCAGTCTAGAGTCATGAGGTTACGTAGTTTATGTTTTCCAACTGCTGGGCAAAAAAGAAAAAAAAAAAAAGGCTCGCTGCCCTGGGCTAACTTGCGTAGCAACCTGGTCCTCGTCTTTCTCTCTCCTGAGGTCCATCAGGGACAAGTGGCCTGATGCCTGGCATAGATGGATGGCAGGGGATGGAGGCAGGAAGATAAGCTAAAAGAGCATGGGCTTGAGGGTAGAGTGGGGGTAGGAAAGGAGAATCAACAGGTGTGGGCCCTGAGACTTGGGGGGGGGTGAAGAATGAGGAGGGATGCTCAGATTCCTTTGGGGACTGGTGCCTGGGCCCTTGGGAGATGCCGAGGAGTAGACCTTTCTGTCTGCCTAACTCTCGAGAGGATAATGAATGTTGTCTTTGCCTTCTACATTTGGTAAGCACAAAAGATGTTTCCTTTGGGTTGAGTTGGGTTGGGTTGGGTACTCAGGCTCCTGGACCTGACCAGCCTTGGCCTTGCTGTAGGACCTTAGGCAAGTCTTCTTCCTCCTCTGGGCCTTAGGCATTGCTTCCTTTCCAAAACAAGAGGCCCATTCTTTTCTTCAGTGTCATCTATTGAGTGCCTACTGTGCGCACCATTCTGGGCATGGGCACAGACAAGGTTTCTGTTCTCATGGAGTGTACATTTTAGTTGGAGGAGGCTGCTGCTGATTGAAGTGGATGCAGAGGAGAAAACATGCCAGTGATATGATTGAGAGTCAGGGGTGCTGAGGTCTACCATTTGGTTGGAGAAGGACTCCCTGAGGAGCTGGCATTTTAGGCCCTGACACTGGAAGGTCTGGGGCAGAGTGTTTTTGGAGAAAGAAATCAATATGTAAAGGCTGAAAGAGAGAACCAGTTTTGGGAACATTGTGAAGGGCATGATGAGATCATGGGTTAAGAGTTTGGATTTTATTCTAAGTGTGATGGGAACCTGGAGGACATCCCCCTGATAAAATCCCTTTTGATTATTTTCCTCTTCGTGAGTGCTGTCCTTTGAAAAATCTTGTTAACCAAAAAGGTGTGTTTACTAAACAACAGTGTGTACAACTTCAAATTATTTTAGGTCTTTAAAATATAGGGGAGTAATTTATGGATCATGATGAATATCTTTGAGGATGTTCCAGGGATCTAAGGATGGCAGATTGAGACACTCAACTACATAATCTTTAAGGTTGCTCTGTTTCAAACATTCGTACTTCCCAAAGCTGCATGCCATATAATTAAAAAAAAAAAAAAAACTGCCACCAACCGTTAGAAGGAAAAAGATGGATTTTTGCGTAAGAAAAATCGCAAATCCAGTAGATTTCTTCTCTTGTGCACTTGGCTTTACATTGTGCACTTGCCACCTGAAAATGGCTCTGGGGAAGGGGTGTCATGGTTCTGCTTTTCTTTTCTCTGCCCTAGAGAATCTTGATTCTGCTTCTGTGTCCTTCTGCCTCAATTCACGATGCGGTGGCAGGAGGGAGTGCTGGGGAGCTGCTCCAGGGTTGGATGTATCTGTGGGGAGGAACACTGGGTAGCTCGGCCTGCATAACCGAGTTAATCCATTGTTTGTAACCTACCTCTGGTTTAACCGAGTTCCCTTATCCAGTGTCCTCGCACTCTAATCCCTGCCAGCAGGCCTTTTTAAATGCACGAGTTAACACCCCATCCCCATTATTAAATTCTCAACTGCATTATCCCTGATTTGCATTTTCCGTGGCTGAATGAATGCGCTGACTTCCGTTTTCTTTTTCTGTTACAGATGGTGTGCGCAGGTGACTGTAAGTACCACTTCCCTCTCTTCTCTTGTGTTGTTCGCTACCGCCCCCTGACGGACACAGCAGCATTTACAGCAATGTGAACAACCCCAGAAAACGCTAGTTTGTTCAAACTCTCTTAGTTTCCAGTTTTTCTTTAGAAGTGGGGTGAGTGTGGAAACAGCAAGTGAAGGAAAGAATTCAATTGAGCAACTTTGACAAAAATTTTATATTTTCTGTGATTTTTTTTCTCGCCAGCCTACCTCTGGATGATTTTTAAAAAGACTTAAATTTTCATAATGCGGTGTGGTTTATATTTATTTTATGCGCTGCTAGCCAATAAGTTTTTTTTTTTTTGGTTGCTACAGTGCTCCATGATTTTTAAAGTGGTGTAAAGGGTTTGTGTAACCTTTGGAAAACCAGACATAGCCTCCTGTATATTTTTCTTCTGTGGAGGGTAGAGTCCCAGTTGCTAACTGAGGTTGGTCCATAGACGTACTCCCTGGTCTAGAGTAAAATGAGAAAAATAAGGCTATGATAAGTTTTAAAGTGAAGCTAAATATATTTAGTTGAAAGCACCATTTATTCTGGGATTATGTTCTTACTAATTTTGGGGGTCGTAATTTGTTTCTATAAGTAAAGATAACAGTAGTTGGTAGTCTGGTTTTTTTTTTTTAATGTACCTTCCAGAATAAATAAAAATTGGTAGCTTTTATCTATCCTCAAAATTTGGGAACTCCCCCCCCCCCCCGATTGGTAAAGCCCCCAATCTTCGAACCATGGAGATAAAATAATTATGTTCTTTCAGGGCCAAAGAAAGGGGGCAGATCTTGCTGAAACCTTCTAATAAAGTCAATCTCAGTTAATAACAGTGATTATGCAAAGTCTGTACAAACAATGGGAAGAGCTCTGCAGTTGCTTTTTCTTGCTTGAGAATCACTTTGGTAAATAAGCTGGTAGGGTACCTTTACAGGCTTGAATCACTGGTGCCAAAGCAGAAAACTTCTATGCACAGAGGTAGTAATTTATTTTATTTTATTTTATTTTTTTATTTTTATTTTTTTAATAAATTAATTTTTATTGGTGTTCAATTTACCAACATACAGAATAACACCCAGTGCTCATCCCGTCAAGTGTCCCCTTCAGTGCCCGTCACCCATTCACCCCCACCCCCCGCCCTCCTCCCCCTCCACCACCCCTAGTTCGTTTCCCAGAGTTAGGAGTCTTTATGTTCTGTCTCCCTTTCTGATATTTCCCACACATTTCTTCTTCCTTCCCTTATATTCCCTTTCACTATTATTTATATTCCCCAAATGAATGAGAACATACACTATTTGTCCTTCTCCGATTGACTTACTTCACTCAGCATAATACCCTCCAGTTCCATCCACGTTGAAGCAAATGGTGGGTATTTGTCGTTTCTAATGGCTGAGGAATATTCCATTGTATACATAGACCACATCTTCTTTATCCATTCATCTTTGATGGACACCGAGGCTCCTTCCACAGTTTGGCTATTGTGGACATGGCTACTAGAAACATCGGTAGTATTTTAAAGCAGGGAAAGAGGATATGAAGGAACTAGGATTCATTTTAAAAATCATAATAAAAACCTGTATAGCAAGCATATCGTGGGAGGTGCCATTTTGCTAGTTTGCGTGACCACTGGTTCAGGCTACTCAGATTGGTCACATTTATCACTGAAAAGTTTCCCGGTGCCTTACTAAGATGAATGTCGGTGTCTGTAGATGTGACTGTTACGCAGTCACAACCGAAGCCTCAGACACAGGAAAGAAGAGTGAAATGCAAACTAAAAAGTCTGTGAACCGTAGTGATAAAATAATTAGAATGTTCTCTTAGAACTTTGAGTAAAATCACATGCTAACGACCAGCAGGATGGGATTCTGAACCCAGATTTTATAAATGTCCAAATCCAGTTGGTTATCATGTCATGCATGGTGCCTTAAAAATGGTCCTTTATGTTTAAAATAGTGTATTAGAGCTGTCAACAGAGGAACCCAAGGAGGAGAGGTTTTAAGGGGCAAATTCCAGGTCACACAGCTAAGGGGCAGAGCAGTTTCTTGCATCCCAAATTCAAAGAGCAGCTCCTTTCTCTTTATGCCATCCTCTCTCATGCCATCTTAGTGCCCGAAAATGGCAGAGCTTCCTCCTGGTATCAGTGCGTGGCAAAAGAGTTAGCTTTTCCATCATGCAAGCCCTCTTCACGGGCAGTGTTTTCTAAGAATGATGAGATAGACTCCTTTTGCATCTTGGGTCTTTTTTTGTATCAGCTTCCATATAGATTTAATCCATGTTCAAGTCATAGCCAACATTGCTAACTCCACCATTTTTGTCTCCTGTGTTTTAAATAACACACATGCATACATGTATGCACATGCATCTAAAATTAGTTTGTAGGAGCAAAGTCCAAGAAGCAAAGAAAGGGAAATGAAATTCTGTGATTGCACAATTCACTTCTAAAAAGTAGACATGTAGAGCTGTCTTGACTCTTACAATTTACTTTTGTTCTCTTTTTAAAAAAGATTTTATTTATTTATTAGAGAGAGAGAGAGAGAGCACATGCATGAGCAGAAGGCAGGGGAGGAGCAGAGGGAGAGGGAGAAGAAGCAGACTCCTCGGGGCTTGATCCCAGGACCCTGAGATCCTGACCTGAACTGAAGGCAGACACTTAATGGGCTGAGCCACCCAGGCGCCCCTTACATTTCTTTTTTAAATATAATTTTTTCCCCTGTCCTTCGGGAAACAATGTTTAAGTAGAACCCATGTTTGTGTTTGACATCGAAGCTTTTTCCGTCAATACAACCAGTGTGACCACAACATGGGAAGACACGAGTGCAACTGTCTCTATGTACATGACTACAGAGAACAGTGACATGGAGAGTAACCAGACGACTCTTGATAAACATCCAACAAGGGATAACGTCACAGACTTCAGTCCAACAGCTCCAAACATGTCCTTTGTCACTTCAGATATAGTCAACAAGACTTCGGAATGGGAAGCTCCCATGGCTGTAAATGAGATAACAGGTAAGGTGAACTCCCGGGAATGGTCGTGAACATTTCCTTTTCACCTTGTCCATTCAAGTTGCCTGTTGGGGAAAGATTGGTTTTCATTAGCAGAGGAGAAAAGATTCTATATTATTTTAAACCCAGGAGTTCAGATCATTTGGCCAGACCATTTGGTATTAGGGTCCTAGGTGTTTTGGGAGGTTTTTTTTTTTTTTTTTTTTTTTTTTGGAGGTTTTAAGTCATTCCAACAGACAGTTTTATTTATTTTTATCTTATTTTATTTATTTATTCATTCATTTATTTATTTATTTATTTATTTATTTATAAGATTTTTATTTATTTATTCATGAGAGACAGAGAGAGAAAGAAAGAGAGAAGGGGTTGGGGGGGGGGCAGAGACACAGGCAGAGGGAGAAGCAGGCTCCATGCAGGGAGCCCAGTGTGGGACTCCATCCTGGGTCTCCAGGATCACGCCCTGGGCTGAAGACGGCGCTAAACCACTGAGCCACTGGGGCTGCCCGCAACAGACAGTCTTAAAAATCCTTGGCTATTATTGGCTAATATTTACTTTTCTCTTAAGGCTTGGGAACAGAGACCTCATTAGACATGTTCTTTTTTTTTTTTTTTTTTTTCATTAGACATGTTCTTGATGGTGTCAGTACTTAGTAGGCTTCTCTTAAGCTCTGCAGGAAAGTTGATGCTGGTTTATATTCTCAGTAATTCTTGCTGGGCCTGAAAGTTTGGTATACTTTTTGAGGAGTGTGTGTTTCAAATGAAGTAATAGCCCTGTGACATTTGGTAAGGTTGAAATTTTTATTTAGCTTAGATGTCAGTACCCTCAGCCACGTGTTATAGCTGCAAATTTAGCTCTCTCTCTCTTTCTTTAAGCTGGAAAGAACTAAAAATATAAAGAAAAGACGAGAAGCTCTTTTTAAATCGAAAAGAAGCAAAAATTTACAAACGAGATCCTTTGTTGCTTTTCTGATCTGGAGATGTAATTTTTTGGCTGGTGAGGGCCACAGAAGCTTGACCTCCTGGAGCCCATGGTTTGAAGTGACCACCTGCCTAGCATAGTACCTTCTGCACATGGAACAAGCAAACCAAACCAGGGGTTTTCAGTGGTTTTTAAAGCCAGGAAACAATTTCTTTAAATAATAAAATCTTGCCCAGAAGCCCAATAAGTGAAAAGAACTGGAGAGAGAGGAGCCACGGGGGTGGATGTCACAGGTACCTTCAAAAAAACTCTTGGAGCTCCTCAGAGCAGAGTTTTTGAGGCAAAAAAGCAAAAACAAAAACAAAACTCTTATGATAGAGGCTTGCTATATTATGAAAGAGAGAAGAACAGGAGGAGGAGGGCAGGGAGAAGATGAAGAGAGTGAAGGAGGAAAAAGAAGTCGGAATTTAGCAATGGCGATGGGGATCAGGTTACACAGGATTGGTGGCTATAGGAAAGTGGAGGTGGAGTGGGAGCAAGAAGCTCCCAGGAGCTGAGTGTCCTCCCTCTACCTGAGGGAGGATCTACCTCCCTGGGACAAGGCTTTGTTCATCAGCTACTATTTATTGAGCACATACTATGTGCTCAGTTGCTCTTTATACATTGTACTGTCTTCACAGTAACCCCAAGGGCCACAGTAAAAAACTGTAATGCCAAGGAGTTGGGATTCTTTGAGGGCTCAGTTCTTGAGCATGAAGTGGTAGGAACCCAGGGGGCCTGGCTTCAGAGTACTAGGCAACTCTGAAGCTGGCAATAGTCGGTTACCCCAGGTCCTTCCGCTGACTACTTTTTTGGTGTTACATTTCTTTCCAAAAGAAAAAGGACACAGGAGTGACCCCATTTAGAAATCTTGGCGCCCAAGATGTTTGATGTGAAGAGTAGACTCCAGGAGGGGATTAGGTTGCTTTAGAGCCGGCCACACCTTCCACTTCAGCCCCTGCAGACCTCAGGCAGGGATTTACTGTATCCCCAACATTGCCTGTGGTACATGTGCTCAGAGCTGGAGACTTGGGTTCCGATTTCCCCGACGCCACCAGTGATGTGTGTTCTTGAGCCAGTCACTCCACCTCTCTGTGTTTCTACCTTGCCCTCTCCAGAATGAACGGAGCAGACATCATGTTGGCTGAAATGTCTGGTTTATGTCACAGCCAGCCAAATAAAGTGATGGAAAGAGTGGTGGGGGGTAGATGGGAGGCATTCTGAAGAACCCCTTTGGGGTTGGAATACAGAGATGAGCTCCTCAGTTGAAATGTCTGGGTGCTATGAAATGATACGATTTGTATTATCTTGACTTGAGACCTTTAGAAGTAGCAAACTATCACTTTGTGTGGAGCTTTGCTCCCGATGCCCAAAACAAAGATGATTCAATGCTGCTTTTTGACAGTTTCGAAAACTGTTTTGAAGAGTGTCAAATCACTGTTGAAGTGAATGTTGAGGCGAGTGGGAGAGACCCTCAAAATCTTTGGCTCCTAGGTGTCTTCTTTTCTCCATAATGCTATATATATTTGTTCCTGCTGTGAAATGATGAGATTGCACTGGACCCTGATATCAAGAAAATACTCTTAACGAGTCATATGGAAAAATATCAGTGACCCCAGTCATTCTTTGTGAGGAGTGACTGCAAATGTCTTATTCCATCAATGCCCATTGTGTATTTTTAAAATAGAACCAAGTCCAGTTTCTGGTCTTCGTCTTGCCCTCCTGGGTTTCACGCAAGCTACTCTTACCTGGAAGAATGCCAATGGCACTGCCACCTGTCGGCTGCTCCTTGAAAGCATCGAAAATAGTAAGGATTTGACGCAAGACTCAGTGGTCAATATCTCAGGCCTGATACCAGGAACTCGAAACAAGTTCACCTTGTCTTTCTCAGACCCGAATGAACAGAGAGAGTCCTCGGTTATAAATAGTAGCTTAGGTGAGTTTACAAAAGTGTGCTTCTTATCTACCTTGCTGGCTTTGCCTTTCAGTAACGTCATAGTTTGAAGAAATATCATTCTTCTATTTGTCCAGGATTTTAGAATTTGTAGAGGGCTTTCCTTCACATTTCGGTGCAACCCTACATTTGTATGAAGAAGGTGGGGTATGTTCTTCTTTTACAGGTCAGATCATTGGGGTTCAGAACGGTTAATGGGGGTTGGAACTTTTTGAGTCTGGCATCCCAGAGAGGAGCTGGCCCCTTTAGCTTTATGAACTTTCAGCAGAACAAATAGCAGATGTGTTAATTCGAGTAGGGCTATGGGAGGAACTTGCCACATCCATTGAGAAAAGGGATGCTTAGCAAGTACTTCTAGCAGACATCTACTGCATTGCCATTTGCAGATGTTAAGCATTTTCAGAGGGAACCTGGTGAATTGAGAAGAACCTAATCCCCATTTTACACATAAGGAAACAGCTATACAGTGGGTGTTAGGATTCTTGACTGCAAGTGACAGAAGCCAGACTTTTTAAAAGAGATTTTCTTTATTCATGAGAGACAGAGAGAGAGAGAGAGAGATAGAGACTTAGGCAGAGGGAGAAGCAGGCTCCCCTGTGGGGAGGCCCAGTGTGGGACTCCATCCCAGGACCCTGGGATTGCGACCTGAGCCAAAGGCAGATGCTCAACCACTGAGCCACCAGGTACCTCTAGAAGCCAGACTTTAAGTAGTTTGGGCCAGAAGAGCAACTTATTGGCTTGTACCTATTTTCCCACAGTGGACAGTAAGGCCTGGAGGAAAGAGATGAGGTGACTCCCATGTCCTCTTCCTCTTTCTTTCTGTACCAGCCTCATTCTCAGAGCAGCTCCTTCCACTTACCTCAGGGAGAAACCTACCAGCAGGTTCCCCGTTTTACCCTCTATCAGAAGGGGTATGGCCCAGGGGAGAAATTCCTAGAGCGGGCTCTGATCAGCTAGGTTTGAGTCATGTGGCTGTCCCTGGATGACCATGTTTAGAGTTGGGTGGGAGAAGATTTCCTGAAAGAAGGGGAAGAGCGGAAAAGAGCTGAGCTGGAAAGAGAAGCACAGATATCTGGTGGTACCTGGGATAAAAGTAGAAAGTAAAATATCTGCCAAAAATTGAGGCCTTTTGAGGAGGATGTATCTCTCTCGGGGGAAGGAAGGGAAGAATTTGTGGAGTACTAGCTGTGGGCACTGCCTGATGCGTCCTCTTGTCAGGGAGGTGCTTTCGGTTGCAGTTAATGTATTTGACTCTTGTGTTTGGAACAGATGCCAACAGCACAGAGAGCTCCTCCCAGCAGTCCACGACCCCCACTGCCTCTGTGTCTCAATCCGACCTCCAACATGCAGACCCGTCTTCTGACCATCCTCTGACCCAACATGCAGACCCGTCTTCTGACCATCCTCTGACCCAAGACACAGAAGTCCTGCTGTTTGGGTTGAAGTCCAACACACAGTACAAGGCCACTGTTTATTCTCAAGCAGCAGATGGCACAGAAGGACAGCCCCGAAACATAACTTTCAGGACAGGTATGTTGAATTTTGTAGAATGTCTTCAGCCAGAGTTTTCCAGCACAGAGTTTTGTCCTCTGTGATTCTGGTTCTCAGTTATCTCTTGCTTCATAAACAGTTTTGTTGTCAGTGGCAGTTTTCTGGAAGAGGGTTTGGGCAGAGCAGATCTAGTGAGTTTCTTCATCAGTGTAGCCAAGACGCTTCTTTCCTTCAGCTCAGTAAAGCGTATAAAGCAGCTACTATGTACAGATGCTAGGTGCTACTTCATGTTTTTCTTTCGAGTCTTTGCACATGAACCAGTGACAAACTGGTGTAGTATTTTTCCCTTAAAAATAAGTATTGTGTTGTCATTGTTGGTTAATTATTTTCCCCTTCAGATAAGAAAAAAAAAATTATTTTGGCCTGACCTTAGAATGCATGCTGATCTTTCTTTTGAAACTTGTTGACATGCACATTGCTGCTTTCTACCTATAATTTAGCGGTACTTCCACTCTGTATATAGACCAGTATTTGGAGGTGTTTTGGATTGGTACTGATGAGGGGGGCAAAGAAATGCATGATTCCTCTCCGGCGGGATTCTGTATAGATGGGGAATTGAGCGAGACGCACATGTATTGAGAGGCACATGGTCCAGCCCTAAGGGCTCAGGATTAAATGCTGTACCAGTGTCCCCCCTCAGGGATTTGGTTGAGGCAACATGAGCTAACCCTGGTCACCTGATCCAAAAATATATGTATTCTTGAAGGCTATCAGAGACCTATAGAATGGAGGAATAGGGATGGGGCCTGAGGGACACAGGGTAGAAAATAAGACAAGTATCCACTCTGGAAGGCTGGATCACACTGGACCTGGTGACACACCACTGGGATTCAAAGTCCCAAGATGGAGAGGGTGTTGCATTCCTGCTTCCTGCATGGCTGTGTTGGGGAAGGGAGTGCTGTCCCCCAGGTTTTATGTGGGTGGTAGGCTCTTCCTTCCACCAAGGTGGGTTGGGGTGCTGTTTGGAAGAAGTAGCCATGGAAGGTAACACATGGCCACTGTCCACTGCAGCTGCCCACCAAGTGCTCTGGGGATTGGAAGGCTGGAGCATGAGTTTAACATCAAATCCCAAGGGAAAGCCTCTTCTGTAGGTAGGATTTGAACTTGTTTTGAAAAGAGAATAGGATTTGAATAAATGGAGAGAAGGAGGAAGACCTGCCCATTGAGGAAACCTTATGGGTGAAGGTCCAGGTAGCAGACACCAAGATACAAAGGTAGAGAGGCACTGGGAGTCCATAACAGCTCAAGGACCCAGATAATTCCAGAGGGGTTGATTTCATTTCTGGAGAGATATGATCATGTGGCTGAGAGTTGTGTGTTTCTCATAGAGGGTGGGGTGGGGGTCATGCTGTAGAGTACTCAGAGGCAATGACTGGTCATGGTGCTTGCACAGGGTTGAACAGTCTGGGCAGGACACCTATGAAAAGTTGTATCTGTAAAGAATTACTGCTTTTCCTGGTGTCTCCCTTGAAGGAGGGTCCACTCGTGTCCTCCTTTCTTCTTTCCCTTTCTACTAATGGGTAGAAAGGGGAGGATGTAGCTATAGGAAAGGCTGCTTGACTTCTGGGGATCCTCAGTGACCTGGCAGGTTGGCAGGTGGGAGGGCTTGATCTCTAGAGGCTGGGTCAAGTTGGAGGAGGAGGAAGGATGGGCCCTCTAGGGGTGCCTTTGACAACGGTAGGCTGTCCTATGCACAGATGCTTGTGCAAGAGGGTGAATGGGCCCCCTGCCAAGCAATGTCCCCAGAGCTGGATCCATCCAACAACGCTTTGCCTGATTTGCTAAGAGGGGTCATGTGGATTAGTGTGGGTCTTGAGTTCCCTGCTTTTAAAGGGGTTTGAGCAGGGTGCCTGGGTAGCTCTGTGGTTAAGTGTCTGCCTTTGGCTCAGGTTGTGATCCCAGGGTCCTGGGATCCAGCCCTGCATTGGGCTCCCTACTCCGTGGGGAGCCTACTTCTTCCTCTGTCTTCTGCCTCCCTCTCTCTGTCTCTCATGAATAAATAAATAAAATCTTAAAAAAAATAAAGTGGTTTGAGCAGAATTAAAATAATAGTGATCGTATTTTAGACTCTTAGTTGTATGGATAAACACAGCCTGGTTTGTATTGAACTGCCCTAGCCTTGATAAATAATAATTATGGTCACCTTAACCTTCTCTGTGTGTTATGTATGTGAGTGTATCTTTGTAGACATACGCACATTTGTACACATATCATACCAGGCATTTTTTAGGTGACTAGGTAGGTGGGATGGGGGTTAAGGAAATCATCAGAGCATTGTTGAGACACCTGAGCAAGGTGAAAGAAGTGCTTCTGGAGCCCAGTGAGGGCTGGGGCAGTGGAGGAGGCAGACACACCAGAACAACAACCCAGAGCAGAGGCAGGGGGAAGAAGACTTGGACGGCTTTCTTCTCTGCCTCCCAGTACCCTGCTTGCAGGCTTGCAGGTGGAACCCTATCCCAGGCCATCTGGCAGGATGCCCCAGGGGTGCAGTGTGTAGAAGTCAGCCTCCCTGGGCGCAGAGCAGGCAGGAGAAGGATGGAGGATGGATTGAGAACATGCGGTGAGCAAGTGGCAAATAACCAGAGCTCTGTGTTATCTTGAGATTAGGAGTGTTACCCCAATTTTACAGATGAGGAAACTGAGCTCAAGGGATTTTCCTAAGATCTACCTGGCCATTAATGCAGAGCTAACCTCGGAACCCAGACCTGCTTCATGCCAAAGCATGTGATCTTTCATAGATCCTGTAAAGTATAGTTCATACTGGATGGATGGATGCTTGAGAGGGTTTCTGGGTCATCCCGGTACCTGGGCAGGCATGAGTCGAGTCCATGTTATTGTTTGAGGAGCCTGTCATAGCTCTAAGAGTAAACTCATAAGAAGAACAAAGACTGACTATGCAGTTGCAATCGGCTGCGTTGTTTTGCACTGATGATGACACCTGACATTTGCTGGGACCCCCATACATTTGTGTATATTGTGGTTGTGGGTAAATGGTGCAGAATAGGAAGGCACAATCGCTGAGATTATTTCTTACTGTAGATGCCATGCCCTGATGATGGTTTCTTTCTTTCTCTTTCTCTCTCTCTGGCTTGGCCATACTGGTTACTGTTAACTCCTCTTGTGTCTTCACAGTTGCCAGTCAAGTTATTGATATTGAAGTTGTGAACATCACTGCGACGAGCATGAACCTCACCTGGAAAATCAATGATAATGAGTCATCCTCTCCCTATAGCTATGAGATCCAAGTTGCTGGGGAGACTGGTTCCCTCAACTTCCGTGTCGATACGAAATGGGTCTTTATCACTTTGCTCAACTCGAGTACTTTATACAACATCACAGTGCGTCCTTTCCTTGCCAACGTTTCTGACGGCCTGCCGGGTTTTCACCAAGTGTACACCCGTGAGTTCACTCTTTGCTTTGCTAAACTTTCTCACCTGCCTGCTATGTGCGAGGCCCTGGTATGAAACAAAGCTCTGTTCCTGCCTCAGGAGAAGCACAGCTCAGTGTATGAGCCCACGGAGACTCTCACCTTCTTCAGGATGTATGCTGTAATAACAGGGATCATTGATTGACCTCCCCATGTGCCGAGCATTGTCTCATGTGATGTTCACAGATCTGTGACATGGTTGTTGTTGACCTTATTTTATGGATGAGGAAGCCACGAGAGAGGTGCTGGGAGGCAGGTGTCACACCTGTTAAGTGGCAGAGATGGGGTTAGATGGTTGGGCACTCTTGACTCCAGGCTGGGCTTGTCATGACCATTCTAGTGTAGTGGAGGCAAATCAGTGCATGGAGACAAAAAGAGCCTGGATATTCATGTTCCTTTGTCTTTTAGAGAGTGACATTATAATGGACCAGGGCACAGATATATATCATCGGGTTTTTTTTTTCTTCTTAACTGTGCCTTAAAGATAAGATGATAGGCAGCAAATAAAAAGCTTTCTGTTTCAAAGAAGGTCCAATAATTAAAACAATAATGGTATACCAGCAGTATATAGTATAATAGTATCAGCATTGTACCATGTAAGGGGCTTTAGGATCCCTGTGTTACAGATAAGAAAGCTGCAGCCCAGCTGAATGATTTGCCCAAGGCTGTAGAGCTAGCCTTCAAGTGGCAGATCAGAGACTTGTGCCTGGCTCTGGACCCAGGGTTCGTTTGACAGAATGCTTTCTTTTAGGTGTGTGTTGCTTCTTCGGAAGCACATCTTAGTCAATTTTTTTGGTTTGTTTGTTTTTGTTTTTTTAAGAGAGAGACAGTGAGGTGGAGGGCAGAGCAGTAGGCAGAAAGAGAGGGGGAGACAGAGAATCTTAAGCAGGCTCTATGCCCAGCATGGAGCCCAACATGGGGCTCGATCTCATGACCCTGAGATCATGACCTGAACCAAAATCAAGAGTTGGACACTTAACCAATGGAGCCATCCAGGTGCCCCCACACTGTAGGCATTTTTACAGATGTCTTACCCCTTTGGGGGTAAATGGAATTTGTTTTCACTTCTCCACCTTTTACATTTTTTTCTGTTTAATCCCTTTAAGTTGGTCCAAGGGTTGTGGGTTATTGTTAAGCTGTTTATTAGTCAGGATTAGGTTTGGCGGTGAGTAACAGAAAACTTCCCGAGTATACATGGCTTAAACAAAACATTTTCATTGTAAAAGAAGCACAACGCCAGGCAGGATGGGATGGTAGAGTGTTAGCCAGGCTCCCCTGCAGGACACAGAAACTATGAGCTTTTTTAAGCCAAAAGGAGTTTAATCCTGGGAAGTGGGGGCTTATAGAATTGTGAGGGCTGGTGTATTATTTTGCTGGGGCTGCCATGACCGGAAGTGCCACAGACCGGAAAGCAACAGAAATTTATTTTTCACAGTTCCGGAGGCAAGAAGTCTGAGATCAAGATGACACATGTGGGGTTTCCCCTGAGGCCGCTCTCCTTGGCTACCTTCTCCTTGTGTCTTCACATGGTTGTCCTTTGGTCTACACATGTCTGTGTCCTAATCTCTTTTTATAAGGACACCGGTTATACTGGATTAGGGTCCACTCTAATGACCTCATTTTACTTTGATCACCTGTTTAAAGACCGTATCTCCAAAAGTACCTCATATTTTGAGGTACTGAGGGTTAGGACTTCAACATAGGAATTTTGAGGGGACACAATTCAAGTCGTAACAGCTGGGGAGCAGGCTTTAGGCTGGGACCCAGGAATGACTCCCACCTTAAGGGTGCACCTTGGTTACAGAGCTCCGGGGATGTATGTTCTCAGCTGTAGTTCAGGATCGGAAAGCCACAGGCACCACCACAGCCACAATGTTGGTTCTAGAGCTAGGCAGCCTGAGCTCCAGGCGTTGCATGTCTATTCCAGTGACAAGGAGGAGGAGGGACGGGCTGGGAAATGTAGTCTTTCTTTCTGATGGCCATATACACAGCTAAAAATCTATGTTCTGAGCAATTAAAGACAGAGTGGGGTAGAGATCAGTATTGTCCCATGTCAGGAGCCTCTGCTGCATGTCCCTAAGCAGAGATTCTTTCATTTCTAGTGAATGACTTTGTACAACCAAGAAATGTGCAGTTTCTATGCTCTTATAGCCAGGTGTTTTCTCAGTGGCCAGAAAAACCAGTTTCTGAAGGGCTTGTGTTGGAAATGATAATACAAGGAAGAGAAAAAGACAGGTCAGGTGTCCCAAGTGTTCATTTAATCTCAGCGTAAATACTTTTATGAAGTTCAGTCACTCTTGTCTTCTGGAGAAATAGGTTCCTAATCTAGTTGTTTACTTTTTTTCCTCAGCCCCTCATCCAGTTTCTGACTTTCGAGTGACGAGTGTTAGCACAAGGGCTATTGGCTTAGCTTGGAGCAGCAATGACTCAGGTATCTTTAAGATATTTACCTCGAAGAATGGAACGGAAAGAATTCAGGAGAACACAACCACCTCCCAAAATATCATCATTGATGGGCTAACCCCTGGAACTGAGTATCGTTTTGAAATATTTCCGCAAGGACCAAATGGGACTCAAGGGGATTCCCAGACAGTTTGGCATAGCACTGGTAAGAAAATAGGCTGTTTTCTGCAAAACGGTTTCTTGAAGTCAGTGTAACTTATAATGTCAAGTTTTCCAAATACTGCCTTTCCTTTTATCTCAGAAAAATATTAAAAAAAATTATAATGATAGTAATGCATATTCATTTTATAATATACACAGACAAGCAAAAAGAAGAAAATGACATGGTAAACTATCCACTAGAAATAATCACTGATAACTTTTGGTATGTTCTTGGTGTATGAAATAATTACTGATAACTTTTATGATTTTACAATTTTAAGATATATACAGGTGTGTGTGTGTATTCTTAAAGATTTTATTTATTTATCTGAGAGAGAGAGTGAGTGAGAGGAGAGAGAGCACAAGCGGTGGAGAAGAGGCAGGAGGAGCAGAGGGAGGGGGAGAAGCAGACTCTTCGCTGAGCAGGGAGCCCGATGCAGGGGTCAACCCCGCACTCCAGGATCATGACCCAAGCCAAAAGTAGACGTTCAACCGACTGAGCCACCCAGTCACCCATTATATATATATTTTTTTCTCTTACAAACATTGAGGTCATCCTGTTGATGTGGTTTTATAATCTGCTTTTTCTACTTAGCAGCTTATTGTGGATATTTTTCCCTTTCAACACAAATATTTCTACGGGATAATTTTAATACCTGCCTGGCATTTAGACAAATCAAAGGTCGACAGATAATAATGGCCCATGGGCCAAATCTGGCCCACTGCCCATTTTTGTAAATAAAGTCTTATTGGAACACAACCATGCTTATATATTTACATATGGTCTACAACTTCTTTTGTGCTAGAAATGAGTAGTTGCAACAGAAAATATATGTCCCACAAAGCTTAAAATATTAATTCTGTGGCCCTTAAAGAAAAACTTACTTGACCCCTGAGATAAATCATCGTTCAAAGTATGACCCAGGGATCCTTGAGAGTTCCCTAGTTTTTTTCAAGGGGTCAACAAGGCATTATTATTATCATAATGCTGCTAAAATGTTATTTGGCTTCTTCACTTTTATTCTTTCATGGTGACTGTATGATGGAGTTCTCCAGATGCTATGTGACAAGGATGACATCACCACTCTGATGGCTAATGGAATGTATGCTGGTGTATTCTTATGTTTTAGAAATATCCTCATTTTTATTTCTAGTATAGTAAATATAAACAGCCTGCATAAAAAAAAAATCTCTTTTAAGAGGTGAAGGAGTCCTGAGACTCAAAGTTTAAGAACCATTGATCTGGATGTATTGTAAATTATTTAAGTACTCCTCTATTGTTGAACAAGTAGATTATTTACACTCTTTCATAAACAACATTGTTCTTTAAGGTTAAATGATATTGATGAAGGTATCTTATGAAAAAACTTAATGTTCATTACTATTGTTTTTAAAATTTGAAATAAATTTTTTTGGGGAAAGTTTGGAAAACAGGCACTGTTCTTTGATCATAAGAGAATTGAAATCTTTTATACAGAGGGAAGAATAAAGAAATGAGACTAGTTCCTTTAGCCACACATGAAATCAGGTGGGCTTTTGAGATTTTCCTTGTATAGATTTCTTTAACTCTGTTGGTTGGGTTAAGGTATTGATAGTTACTTGGAAGTTCTACTTTCAAAATAAGGAACTGCAAATGTGTATTCCTCAGATGAAATATAATAATTCTTTTTCAAGTGTGAATTTTGGATTAGACTGTTGATATGAGCTCTTAATGTCAACATATATTTCTTTCCTTCTTTTGAGAATTTGCTAATAATGAGGATCATCATGCTCATCATGGGGGACCCTTGATATTGTGTGACTTGCCAGTCACCAGAACTAAGTATAACAATAGTTTAATATATTGGGGGTTGATAAAGTGCTGGGCTCTCATCCTTTATTTTTTAATTTTTATCACAACTTCATGAGGTAGGTACTGTTGACCTATTTTCCAGAGTAGGAAATGGGAGGTCTGTGAGCTTAATAACTGGCCCAGAGTGACAAGGTAGTGAACTGGCTTCTGTCTGTCTTTGAAGAGTGAGGTCTTAGCGACAGTGTGGACTGACACTTTGATGTGGTACAGCTGCAAAGTAATTTAGGACTGTTCCTTGAGGAGAAGGCATCTCTTGCACTGTCTCCCATAACTGAGACTCACTGAATGGAAATCAAGAAGAGTTGTAATAAGTCTCTTAGGGGATTACCATTTTATTATTGAACAACTTCTGTTATTATTAAAATTGATATAACAGCATTAAAGGAAATTTTGAAGAAACCAAACAAATACTGTATGACCCAGCAATCCCAATCCTCTGTGTGTGTGTGTGTGTGTGTGTGTCTGCGTGTGTTTGTATCCAGAAGAATTGAAAGCAAGGACTTCACACAGTTACTGTATACCGGTGTTCATAGTAGCATGATTCATGATAGCTAAGAGGTGGAAGCAATTAAGTGTTCATCAACAGAGCAGTGGATAGACAAAATATGATATAGCCACACAAAAGAATATTATTCAGCCATAAAAAGGAATGAAATTCTGCTAGCTGCTGCAACATGGATGAGCCTCCAAAACATTATGCTACATGAAAGAAACCAGACACAGAAGGACAAATATTAGGTTTCCATTCACAAAAGGTTCTTGGAATAGGCAAGTTCATAGAGATGAATATAGAATAGAGGTTACGGGGCGGGGGGGTGGGGAGTTGCTGTTTAATGGGAACCGAGTGTATGTTAGAGGTGGGTGATGAAATGTTTTGGGTATGGATGATGGTGCTGGTTACACAACATTGTGAATGTGTTTAATGCCACTGAGTTGTATATTTACAAATGGTTAAAATGATGAATATTATGTGTATTTTATCACCATCAAAAGTAAGGGATTAAAAAATAACTCCACTCTTCTAACCCAGCTGAATTGCTTTCACATCTGTGTCCATAATATAGGTTTTGTGTACATCAGTAATTATTATACAAACCATTGTATTTTGTATGATTTTTTTTTTTGACTCATTGTGGGCTCTAGCTTCCCTTCCATTGTAAGTATGATCTTCATGCCACTAAAAAGTGGCAGCAGAATGTTTCATTAGGTAGCCAGATCACAGTTTACAAAGCCCTTCTTCTTCTTCTCTTTCTTCTTTCTTCTTCTTCTTCTAAAGATTTTTTTTATTTTATTTATTCATGAGAGACAGAGAGAGAGAGAGGGAGAGAGGCAGAGACACAGGCAGAGGGAGAAGCAGGCTCCATGCAGAGAGCCTGACGTGGGACTCCATCTTGGGTCTCCAGGATCACACCCTGGACTGAAGGCGGCGCTAAACCGCTGAGCCACCTGGGCTGCCCAAAACCCTTCTTTTTTTTTATGGAATATTTAGATTGTTTGTAGGTTCTTTTTACCTTTATAGATAGTGGCTTTCTCTTATGGTCTTTTGTCTGTAGAATCCCTTTAACATCAGGAATCTGGCTGGTGGTAGAGAAAGAAGCCTCTCAAAGCTACCTCCCTTGAAGGAGAACCCACTTAATAAAAAATAAATTTTGGGGGGATCCCTGGGTGGCGCAGCGGTTTGGCGCCTGCCTTTGGCCCAGGGCGTGATCCTGGAGACCCGGGATCGAATCCCACGTCGGGCTCCCGGTGCATGGAGCCTGCTTCTCCCTCTGCCTGTGTCTCTGCCTCTCTCTCTCTCTCTCTGTGACTATCATAAATAAATAAAAATTAATTAAAAAATTAAAAAAAAATAAAAAAAAATAAAAAATAAATTTTGGAAGAGGTAGTACGCACGTGGTACAAAATAATAAAAAAATGAAGAAGGTTTTACAATGAAAATATTCCCCTCTTTTGTCCCCTCAGCCACTCAATTCCTCACATTAGAGGTGACCTTTGTTCCCAGGTGAAGAGAGAAGTGTTTTGAAAACAAGGGCAGAGAAGAGGCCCCATTTAGGTAGTTATTTCTGGACCTTGATCTGTGTGTTCCTATTACATCCAGTTCAGTGTGTAGAGGTGAGGTGGGTGGAACAAGGTACCCAGAGTGTTCCTGAGGGAGATTTCTCTTCTGACCTCAGCTCTGAGGGCGGACAGGATAAGTGTTTTCGCTTCTTCACCCTGGCCTCAAATACTCACAACCTAGCAAATGGCAACTCTCCCAGTTCATTCGTTCTCTTCAGTATGCCTGACTATGTTACAGGAAGATGTTTGCTTTTGAGGAAATGATTAAAAAGTAAAAACCTATTTATCGTGATATGTACCTTGGTATGTATTGAGTATATATACTGAAAAATACACACATCCTAAGTGTGTAGTTTGATGAATTTTCACAAACTGAACCTATCTGGTCATCAGCACTTGGATCAGGAATCTGAACATGATTTTCCACTCCAGAAGACCCCCGAAGGGGGCGTTGTTATGACAAAAACAAAAGCCCAGAGAACCAACAGGATAAATTGGTAAGTTCATTTGTGTTATGGAAGAGCTGAAGTTCTTGAAAGAAATGAGTGTGTGTGATTCTCACTGGTTTTGGAGCTTACCTTTTGTGGACTCATTTCAGACTTTGATGGCAAAAGAACAGTTCTCTTGACACTTCGAGATAAAGCTGGGCATTATGATGGTCTTTGACAGACTTCCTTTTTTTCAAACAGACCCCAGTGCAGTCTTGGACATCCATGTGCTCAAAGTCACCACAACGGAAATGCAGTTGGAATGGAAGAGTACAGACAATGCTTCTGTGTACACCTACTTCCTAGACATACAGTCCGAGTATGGCTCCAACCAGACAAACAGTTATCAGAAAGAGATCACTCTCAGGGACTTGGTTCCAGGCACCTTATATAACATCACAGTCTTTCCAGAAGTGAACCACATCAAGGGGAAATCCAGCTCCACGGCACAGTATACACGTAAGCCTCTTAGGATGCCCTGCTGAGGGGTGTTCTTTCTGACTCCCTCCTGAAAGGTGGGAGGTCAGCCCTGGCTAAACAGGGGGATAAGGGACCACTGTGTTTCTGGGCTCCAGGTAGAATGTGAAGCTGCTTAAGCAGAAAACATCAGTCTCAGCAAAGGTTCTGTTGTTCCCAGCATTGATGCTGAGCCACGTGAACGTGGAATTGTCTGTAGAAGCAGAAAACGATCTGATAAGCATGGACAGTGTAACTGTTCCATTCATTCCTTGGGAATGCAGACTAGAGGAGGGTCACCTTGTCACGTTGGCATTAGAGATACTGCTCAAGTGACGAGCTTTGCACGCAGCCATCAGGGAGGGGTCTTGCTAATGTTTTTGATCTAACTCTATGGTAGATGTGGTAGTTTGTGTTATCTTTTTGGTCTGTTTTTCTCTTTTGTTAATCAGGTTTCCAAAACAGATAGGAAATTAGGCCTGGAAAATATATTTCAGATAAACTGAAAAGTTTTAAAAAAGAATTTTTCTTTGAGATTCAATCTATATAATTATTTTCTGAAGGTCTTTTTGGGAAGCCTTCTGTCTTTTGAGTCAGCAAATGTTAGCTTGGTTTATTCTGTCCCAAGAGGAGCCAGGCTGTTTTTAGAGGCAGTAAATAAAATGGTCCTGGAAATCAAGGCTAATCCATGCCTTTTTTTTTTTTTAAAAAAAAAAAAAAAAAAACCTAAGGACCCAGTAATGTATCCAACATTGAAATAATTACCAACATCACAGCGGCGAACTTAACTTGGCAGAACTTTGATGAAGCTTCTCCCAGGTACACCTACCACCTATTTATTGCAAAGGATGGAAATTCCAGCAATGCAACACAACTTGTCACATATGTTGGCGTCACCTCTGTTATCATCACTGAGTTAAGCCCTGGCTCGGCATACACAGTGGAGATCTACACCCAAGTAGGGAATACCACCATGTCACTGACACCCAGCTGGCAGTCATTCTGTACAGGTGAGTAGCCCCAGGTGCCTTCTGGGCTCTTTTCTGTTTGGTGCTGACCTGGCAGGTGTGTCCTCCACAGACTTTATAATGTTCTGTGTCGAGGGCAGAAATAGACACTGAGCTCTTTGAGATATCCTATTAGCTCGTTAGTGCTTTCTTTTTGTTCTTATCATTTATTAATTCAACAAATATTTATTGAACACTGACTATATGCCAGGCACTGTTAAGTGACACCCACAAGTCTCTGCCTTCCTGGAATTTTTATTCTGGTGGGGAAGACATATAATAAACAAGATGACGATTACTGGTAGGGAAAGGAAAAAGAATAAGGAAGGGGGAGATGAGATGTGTATCTAGGGTGCCCCCAGTGAAAACGTTATTGAGCAAAGACCTGAAGGAAGTGAAAGAGCCAGCCATATGACTTTCAGGGCATAGAGCACTATAAGCAGAGAAACAGCCAGTGCAAAGGTCCTGAGGCTGGAGTATGCCTACCTGTTGAAGGAAGAGCAGGAGGCCAGGATGGCAGGAATGGACTAATGCAACAAGGAGATGATGGGTAGATGGTAAGGCCTGAGAGGTAATGGGCCAGGAAATGGATGTCATGCAAGCTTGTGGTTCATAGTTTGGCTTCCCTACTGAAGAAGGTTGAAAGGATATTATTAAAATGGATGCTCAGCCTTTTTACCCGTTTTGATCCTTCTCTCTTAGTGTAAGTAATGCTATAAAGGGAAGGGTTAAAAAAAAAAAAAGGGAAGGGTAGCCCCGTTTTTAACTGAGGGAGCTTTCAGAAAGGACCCCAGGGAATATTATACCAGTGGTTGTGAGTACTTCAGCTCACAGATCTGGTTGGGTCACCTTGGCACCTGTGTACCACCTATTCTCTCCCCTCTTTGTACCTACATCTTCTCTTCCTTAGACCAAGCTACTCAAGTGTGTTTGGGCTGATTTGGAAGTGGAGGGTTTTCATTGGATCAGCCTCCCTGGTGGTAGTGTAGGAGCTGGAACCATGATGACCTCTGACCTTTCACATGGAGCATCTAAAGAAATCCTGGCAGCTCTGAGTCACCTCTGCTAACTTGGGCTCCATCCACCTGGTCTAGACACAGAACTTTGGGATTTGGGTGGCTTCCATTGCTGATACTTATCTTAGCTATACTTCAGTCTGTAGCAAGCTCGTACATATGAGCATTTATGACTAGGGGTGGCTAGAAAAGGAGCTGTGGAGGTAGGTGTGCATTGGGTAGATTACTTTTCCAGGCCTCAGGTGGAGAATATGGGAGCTGCATCAAGTGATTTGTTAGTGCTTTTCCTGACATAAAATACTGCAGCATTGAAGTCATGATGATACTCTCCCTCAGCATATTTCTTCAGGACCCCATGACCATGACCGGAGCCCAAATCAAGAGTCAGAAACTTAACAGACTGGCCAGCCAGGTGCCCCTGACACCCCATTTTAAAGATGAAGAAACTGATTCCATTTACCATTGACTATTCAGCATGTTTTATCTATATAAAAAACCCTGGACTTGGATTTAGAAAACCTGGGGACCAGTTTTGGCTTTGTTGCTTACCAGCCATGTCATCTTTAGCAACTTAAATAACCTCTCAAAGCCTCAGCTGATTCTTCAGCAACTTGGGATGGTATTAAGCCTACCTCTTCCAGAGGGATTGTCAGAGGGGCCCCAAGATGAGATGACATGGGTGAAGAAGTTGCTGCCACCATCCTGTTGGGCTACAGCTAGCTCTCGCAGAACCCTGTTCTCTTCCAGCGTAGTGACTCATAGTCATTGTTTCATTTAATCGCCATACAGTCCTGCAGCTGAGACTCGGTTGGGTGGCTGACCCAAGGTCACACAGTTCAGTAAGTCCTGATTCAAGGTCAGCCTCTGCCTCTTTTACCCTGCCACATGGCTCTCTCCTCATTACAGATGAGACAGGATTCTGCTGCTCGCTGAGTGCCAGTGTTCACAAAGGCCTAAGTCCCAGGCCCTCACGATGTGCTGTGCTTGCTTTGCAGATCCTTTTCCAGTAACCTCCTTCCACTGCGAAATGGTCCCCAAAGAGCCAATCTTGATTCTCAAGTGGGTCTGCCCTCTCGGCACCAACACAGGCTTCCAGCTGGAGATTAGCAGAGGAGCTTGGAAAAATGTGACGCAACTGGAGAGCTGCTCCTCAGAGAACAGCACGGAGTACAGGACGGAAGTCACGTATTTGAATTTTTCTACCTCCTACAACATCAGCATCACCACTGCCTCTTCCTGCAACAAGATGGCATCTCCCACCCAAAACACCTGCCTCACTGGCATTACAGGTGGGCTTCGTGGTGGCATTGTGCTTACCCCTAGAGCACCCCGACCCAGTGGGCCCAGAAATCTGTATTTCTTTTGAAATTTCTGCTAAAATATTTATTTTTGTTGGTATAGGCAATTCTATAGAAATCTAGTCTTAAAAAGTAGAATAAGAGGGACTCAGGTCTTATATTCCAAAAGTTTCCTTTGCTTTACAGAATAATTCATTGCTATGTTTCTCTTTTAAGTAATAAATTCCTGTCTTGCATTTTGTTTTAAAAAGCATTTTCATAGAAATATTTAAATATACACAAAAGTAGAAGAAAGCCTAAAGAAACCCACATATCCACCATCACCCACATGGACGTTTATCACAGTTTGACCAGTCTTCTTTCATTTATTCCCTCCTCCCTGATTGGATTACTTTGAGACCAGCCCTGGTCATTCTACACTCTAATTTATAAATGTTTCAAGAAGTATTCCTCCAAGATAGAGGCTCTTTTCTCCTTTCATTCAGACATAACCACGTTGCTATTACCATCACACTTAAACAGTACTTTTATTTTAATTCACATATACGGTGAAGATTCATATTCCCTGTGATCCATTTTGACAAACTCCCTAGCTATTTTTTGAGGAACGGGGTTCACGCACTGCCCAGGGGATCCCAGTAGTCACTTTTACACTCATCGTTCTTATTTTTTGGACTTGGAAAAAAGTTGTTTCTTATATCTTTGCTTCTTTTTTTTTTTTTTTAAACTTTTTTTTTTGTTTTAAATTTTTATTTATTTATGATAGTCACACACAGAGAGAGAGAGGCAGAGACACAGGCAGAGGGAGAAACAGGCTCCATGCACCGGGAGCCCGACGCGGGACTCGATCCTGGGTCTCCAGGATCGCGCCGTGGGCCAAAGGCAGGCGCCAAACCGCTGCGCCACCCAGGGATCCCTCTTTGCTTCTTTTGTATTGTCTTTCCCTTGCCGTGTCTTTGCCAACATCATGTCTTAGATCAGCCTGGTGGGTTGGTTTAGCTTTGTGCTTTTTGACCTCTGGATATATCTCCTTTAGGGTATCAGACTGTTTCTGGAAATTTTCCAAAGAATCCGTGATTGTAATAGTAAGAGAGAAAGGTCTTTTACTGTAGGGACACTGACTTGAAAAGCGGTTGAAGAGTTCTGTGGACAGTGCCTTGGATTGATTGATTGATTGATTGATTGATTTTTAGTGCCTTGGATTTAGATAGGCAGACCAGGGTTTGAGTCTAAGTTCTGCCTTTTACAAGCTATGTGAGCCCAGAAAAACTACTTAACCTCTATGAGCCTTGTTTTTCTTAGTTATAAAAGGGAGAAATAGGGGCACCTGGGTGGTTCAGTGGTTGAGCGTCTGCCTTTGGCTCAGGGCGTGATCCCGGGGTCCTGGGATTGAGTCCTACATCAGGCTCCCTGTGAGGATCCTGCTTCTCCCTCTTCCTGTGTTTCTGCCCCTCTCTTTGTGTCTTTCATGAATAAATAAATAAAATCTTAAAAAAAAATGGGGGGGGGCAGAGAATAATACTAGCTTTCAGGACTGTTATACAAATTAGATGAGGGTCATGTGTATGGAAGATCACTTGAGAGCAGCCACGTATGGCAGCTCTGGTTGCACACCACACAGTTCTAGGGGACACCGTTCATATGGACTGCAGTGTGCAGGGGGCTCCTTGGAGTTGTGTGGTACCCAGCTATATAGGATGGCCTGGGGCATGCTCCTTTGGGTTTCTATAGTGCTCTAGAACATAATAGAAATAATGAGCCTTTCTTGTAGTTCTGTTTTATAATGTCCTCTCTTCAGGCGCTTAGCAACATAAACCATGTCTGATTTGGTATCTTTAAGGTTAAGGGCAGGGAACGGAGAAGAAACTTGTCAGAAATAGTTGTTTCTGAATCTGAACAGTATGGTAGGTTTGGATAATGACCACTTATTTAGTGATTCTCTTTTTAATCTATAGCTTTCCCTTTCTTCCAATGAATTTTTTTAAAGATTTATTTATTTATTTGAGAGAGATAGAGAGTGGGAGGAAGGACAGAGGGAGAGAATCTTCAAGCAGACTCCTCTCTGAGTGCGGAGCCTGATGCAGGGCTTGATCTCATGACCCATGAGATCACAACTTGAACTGAAACCAGGAGTTGGTCGCTCAACCATCAGAGCCACCCAGGCGCCCCCACCCCCAGAAATGAATTTTTATATACGAATTCAACACAACTTTTATTTACTATGAAAGTGGAGCTGCGTTTTCTCCCAGAGGTATGGGTTGGGTAAATCTAGGAGAACTGGGAGAACTATTATTTGTTAGTTGCTGTTTGCTGGGTGTCAGGGCCACTGGTGAGTAGGGCAGACAGGATTCCTGGATCGTAGGATTCAGATAAGCAGAGAGAGAGGGAAAGGATTGCCAGTCCTGCAGGAGGATGAGCTAGCAAGTTACTGACCGTCTCACCTGTCTGGGCAGCTGAAAGGCCAGGCTCGGAGGGGAATCCAGGGAGCCTGAGTTAGGAAGCCGGCTCAGCGGGTGACGGTTAGATATGGGGATAGTGCCCTCAAGTGGTCACTGCTATCAGCTACGTGTGAGGCTGCCGAAGCCTGGTTCAAAGCTCTGCTGCCCGGGACAAAATATTGTGAGTCTCCTGCAGAATATAACATTTTCTAGGAGCTGCATTAAAAAAAGTCAAAAGGAAGAGCTGACATTGATTTAAATCATGTTTTCTTTAACTCAGTATATGAAAAATATCATAGTTTCAACATGTAGTTTGTATTACATGGAATCCAGTCTATGTTTCACGTGTACAGTGCCTCTGAATTTGGGCCAGTCATGTTTGAAGAGCTCAAAAGCTCTGTGTGGCCAGTGGCTGCCGTGCTGGGCGGTGCAGGTATGGGAGCCACGTTGTGGTGTTTTTGTTCAGTTTTCTCTGTCTCCCTTAATCTTAAATATAATAATGAAAACACACTGTATGTGAGAGACAAACTTAGGTGCAGTGTGTGCGTGTGTGATCATCTTTAATTCAGCATTTTCTTCCTTTTGTGTTCATTTGGAGGGTGACTTTAGAAGCTCAGCTCAGGGGTCCTCTAGGTGGCTCAGTGGTTGAGCATCTGTCTTCAGCTCAGGTTGTGATCCCAGGGTCCTGGGATCGAGTCCTGCATCAGGCTCCCCCTAGGGAGCCTCCTTCTCCCTCTGCCTGTGTCTCTGCCTCTCTCTGTGTCTCTCATGAATAAATAAATAAAATCTTAAAAAAAAAGAAAGAAGCTCAGTTCAGAAAGGGAGGCATGTCATCATGAAGGTCTCATGGAATGTTCCTGTGTCGGTTTTTCTGGTTTCTGGGAAGAGGGTCGGTTGGGTTTCTCAAGGTGGCGTTTTAAACCAACCTTAACAAAAAGAGGACTTTACTTTGAAGAATGTGGACCAGAAACACACCCAGGTCTGAGGAGAAAGTGTAATCTCCGCATGTCAGCCTTCCTCCCCTCTAGGTCTCTCCCATACTGTCTTTAGCTGACCAGGGCATTGGATACCGTACCCCATGGTGGGCAGGGAGCTGCCAATGGCTCCCCACTTAGAGATCCAGCCACACAGTCTCTCTCTTGATCTCCTTCTACCCCAGTCCTCTGGGTCAGAAGAGGCTGGGAGAAGATAGGAAAGGCAGGTTGTCTTTAGCCACCAAGGCTGTGGGGATCCTAACCTGGGTGTGTGGCTGGGCACACTGAAGGTGCCGTCATGAGCTGCAGAACCTGCCATCTCTACCCCCCACTTCCCTTCCCTGCCTCTTGCTCTGCATGTGCTCTGCATGAGCCCAGCCCATCACTCCAGAGCCAGGGCACTGCAGCAAATTTCTCCTTAATAATTTTGTATCTTCTTTGGTTTTATTTAAGTGGTGGGTGATCATGTTTCATTTTGCTCTGTTTCAGACCCCCCTTCTCCAGATGGATCCCCGAATATTACGTCCATCAGTCACAATTCAGTAAAGGTTGAGTTCAGTGGGTTTGAAGCCAGCCATGGACCCATCAAAGCCTATGCGCTCATTCTCACCACTGGGAATGGTAAGGAGGGGTCAGTTACAGGTTCAACAGCCCATGAAACATGTCATGATGGGGGGGGGCATTCCTGTGTCCACTGAGTCACATTGGAGATACAAATACATGTCTGTTTTTGCACTGTAGCCACACTGTGGCCCTCAAAAGCGGGTGAGTGAGCTATTTGCCCGATGATCTCCATCAGGGTTGACAGACTGTCTATAAGGAGCTGGATAGCAAATAGTTTAAGCTTTGCAGGCCATGCAGTCTCTCACAGCTGCCCGACTCTGGTGCCGACGGGTGAAAGCAGGCACAGACGGTGCATGAAGAATGAGCGTGGCTGTTCTAGTAAAACATTATTTGTCAGAATGGGCAGTCCAAAAAAAAAAAAAAAACCAAAAAAGAATGGGCAGTCCACTGGATTTGGCTTGTGAAGCATACCTTGCCGACCTCTGACCTAGGTTTTTCTTCTCTTTTACAATACAGGGTCTTTTAAGTGATGGAATGTTCATCTTAACCAACTTTCTCTCTCTCTGTCTCTCTCTGTCTCTCACAAACACACCATATTCAAAGGGTAGCTTTCTCTTCAAGGAAAACAGGAAGTGATTTGCGTTTGTGATGGGAACTTGCAAAAAGCATCCTCACAGCTGAGAGAGGAGGTGGCTCACATGCCCCTTGTCCCTGACAGGGCTCCATTACATTCTTTGGTGGGAAGAAGGGCATGATTCGAGGGTGTCTTTGTTAGCCACATGTGGGTGCTTTGCACAAGCCTGGGTTTTCATGGCCAAGTTTTGTTGTTTTTGTGCATTCTTTAAATGGGAACAAGGCAGTGCTGCCTCTGCCATGCTCTCAGCCCGTGGTACTGTCCTCCCCTCCTCGGGAACGGAGGGATCAAGCATCTTGTAAGGGCTGTGAGCATCCTAGAAGGCAAGGAATTCTCTGGTGTCATACACTTCTGGCAGAGTTTCAACAACTGATACTGAGATCTCTCCATCTGTCTCTTTCTCTCTCCTCCTCTCTGTCATTCCGTTTTGGGTCTGTTTCAAGTCCTTTCATTGTGAGGTTTTCAGCAAAATCCACGCTTAGGCCTCGCCAAATGAAGGAGGTGGTATCTCATAGTGACCGGGAGTGACCACTGCCAGCCTGTGGTGGGTGAGACTGTACGCTCCAAGCCGATGGTCTGGGTCAGAAGTCAGCCTGACCGTGTGCACAGTGTGGCCTCAGGCCCAGGTCCTTTTAGCTTTCTGTGCCTTCATCTTCCCACCTGTAAGATGGAGGTAGTAAACCTAACGTGGTGAGACTGTTGTCTGTGACGATGGTTTTGTACGTAGGGTTTATGCAAGCAAAGCCCGCAGAACTTCATCTAAGCCAAGCCTGGCACAGCGAGCTGTCATCGTTACCGCCCAGTGTCAATGTCATTGTTTAGATGCATGTGAAACTGAAATCTCTGCCATCACTTGCTTATTTACGCCTTTCTATGTGCCTCTCTTAGCTGGTCACCCATCCCCAGATGTTTTGAGATACACGTATGAGGATTTCAAAAAGGGGGCCTCGGAGACATATGTGACATACCTCATAACAACAGAAGGGAAGAGACATCCTCAGGGCTTGGCTAAAGTCTCGAAATACGAAATCGATGTTGGGAACGAGTCAAACACGCACGGTTATTACAACGGGAAGCTGGAACCCCTGGGCTCCTATCGGTAATGCCTATGGGGTTGCTGCCTCTGGGGCTGAGCCCTGCGCGCGCCCCGCTCTGCACGCCGGGGGCAGTGGCCACGTCTCAGCTCTGTCTTTCCTCCTTGTCCTCCTGCAGGGCTTGTGTGGCCGGCTTCACCAACATCACCTTTAGCCCTCAGAGCAAGGGCCTCATAGATGGCGCTGAGAGCTACGTGTCCTTCAGTCCCTATTCCGACGCGGTTTACTTGCCCCAGGATCCAGGTAGACAAAAGCACAGCAGTGCCGTTAACATTTCAGTGGGGTTTTTGCTTCTGGTGTCCACAGAAGACCAGGAGTCCACCCGCCTCCCTTGGCTGGTCTCTCCTCTCAGAAGCTGAGATGTCACGCAGCCATCAGGACCCACCTCTGCTTCCTCCGAGGAGGTCCCCAACAGGGCCTCCCCCCTCTCCCCCCCCCACGCTGCACTTCCACTCTGCAAATACGGTTTAGTCCTTGCTTCTCAACGTGCGTGCCAGGTACACTATTTGACCTTTAGTGCGTAGAACCTTTGAATGTTAGGGTCATAGGGAGTCACAGAAATGGTCTCTTCCAGCTCCTCTCATAGAAATGAGGCTGTGAAGGCCCAGAGAGGGGACAGTGACTTGCTTAGAGACAGGCCTGACACTCTGGTCCCAGACTCCTTGTCAAGTGCTCCCCTCCTTTATCACACAGACTGAAGTGATTTAGGAGCCTCATTTCTGTAAGAGGAGCTGGATGGCACACTAACAAACCAGTGGATCCCTTTGTCTCTGGCTTGAAGGCAGGGCTATGAAGGCCCAGGGAGGGGGCATATACAAAGGGATCCACTGGTTTGTTAGTGTGTCTGGATTTTACACTTGATAGCTGTTGGCTTCAGGAAAGAAGCCCCAGGAGCAGAGTTCAGGGAGTTCGCACCCCCTTCCCCAATAAACAAGTGGGTTTTATGTCACTTGAGCACAATGCTGTAGGTACTTGTGCTCCTGTGTGGGCATTAGTGTCAGAAGGGTCGGAAGCGACAGGAACCACGGGGGACATTGTGTCTAGTGGATTTTAAACAGTGGTTGCTCCACCATGCAGGGCCAGTCTTGAGACCCTCCCTGCTCCCACCCTATTGCCACAAGAACATTTCTGCCTGGTTCTCTATTTTATATGTTGGGCTGCTACATGCAATTTCATTCAAAGAAACATGTCAGCAGTAAGAACAACTCAAAAATCATAGACAGCCCAGTTCCCTAAGTTTGCAGTTGAGGAACCCAAGGAGGGGGGAGTGGCAACTTTCTCAAAGCTAACCTGTTAGTGGTGGGCTGGGGCTGGGGAACCTGGCTGCCAAATGCCTAGATTAATTATATGCCCAAAGGTATTTAACACACACACACACACACACACACACACACACGCTCTCTCTCTCTCTCTCTCTTTCTCTCTCTCTGATTTGAGGACTCTGGGCCGGATGTTTGTGAGCATCCTTTTTTGGAAAAATATCTAATTTAATTTTATTTAAATTCAATTAATGAACGTATGTTGTTTTATTAGTTTGTGAACATCTTCTGAAGTGCCTCTCATTTGGACTTTTCTCAGGTGTCATCTGTGGAGCAGTTTTTGGGTGCATCTTTGGTGCCCTGGTCATTGTGGCTGTGGGAGGCTTCATCTTCTGGAGAAAGAAAAGGCAACTGTTGTTTATTTGAATGATAATATCCTCCTGTTTTAAGGGGGCTTTTTACTATGGAAACTTTCAGACATTTACACAATCAGAAGGACTCCTGTCATGGGGCCCCAAGTCCCCATCACCCACACTCTTCACTGGCCAGTCCCATTTCCTCTCAGCACCCTAGGGCGTCAGGCTCTGGCACACGGTGCTGTGTAGGGCTCCTTCTGAACTGTGCCTTGGGGTTCATGAGTCAGTTTTGTGGTGCTAAGAGATTTCATTTTAGAGTTAGCTAGTTTGAACACCTGCTCTGTCTGACTGGAAGTTAGGGAGGTCCATTGTGATGTCTACAATAATCTGTGATGTGACACCAAGGAGCATTACAGAAACAGCACATGGTTAAACAGTAAAAATAGCAACTATTTTGAGCACTTACTGTGTGCCCGGATTTGTGTTTCCATCAGTTCTCATATTCATGGGCTCTAGGAGGCAGGTCTTGAAAGCCCCATTGCAAGGACACACAAGCTGAGTGTAGGAAGTATGGAGATGAACTTGAACCTGATGTTTGCACTCCATCACTCACTCTCCTGTCTGACTGTGTGGCGGGAAGCCTTTGTATCAACTGCGATTCATTCATGCTTAGCAGGTGCTGTCAGGTGGGGAATCTCATCCTGGCTCTGAGTTTAAAGCAACTATGCCAGATTCTTCAGCCACCACCTTGCCCTGTTGGGTTGACAGGCAGATTAAAATTTTTTGTGTGTGAGGGATGGGTCAAAACAGCTTTCTTGTTTCTTGTTGAAAAAAAAGTTATACATGCTTGTGGCAAAAAAGAAAATATTGAAAAGAAGAACAAAGAAACTGGATATTTCATAATCATGGCACCTGCACAAAACTACATTTAACATTGATATGATTGTGAAACTCACACGTGAATACACACACACACACACAAATGGAATCATATTATGTGTATTATTTTCTAATCTGCTTTATTATTTAAGACATTGTGGACAGCATCAAATCTTCTTCAGTTTAAGTGGATAGAGAGCCTTCAACTGTATGGAAATTATTCAACCAATTTTTCTGATGTTTGCAGTTTTTTTTTTTTTTTTGCTACAGTTACTTAATCTGTCCCTAAATCTTTGGGCGCATTCATGACTATTTCCTTAGGCTAAATTCCAAAGTGGACAGTTGCTGGCTCAGTGGGTATGATGCATGTTTTCAGTTTTGATACATACTGACAAATTGCCCTCCAGAAGGTGTTTTTTTTTTTTTTTTTTTTTTTTAAACACCAATGTGGGGTTTAGCCAGCCATGCAGGAGAGGGCCAGGTGCTCCACCATCGTACCCATAGTGGAGATATTTTCTGGCTTATTCCATTAACTTATCAGAAAGGTTTATCAAAAAACAGTATGAAAAAGTGACTCTGGCTTTACAAAAGGGGCATGCTGCCAATTTATATTTACCCAGAGTTATTTCTTATCTTATCTTTTTTTTTTTTTTTAGGATTTTATTTATTTATTTGACAGAGAGCACAAATGGGGGCAGCAGGCAGAAGCAGAGGGAGAGGGAGAAACAGGCTCCCCATTGAGCAAGGAGCACGATGCAGGGCTCAATCTCAGGATTCTGGGATCATGACCTGAGCCAAAGGCAGGTGCCTAACCAACTCAGCCACCTAGGTGCCCCATAGCCAAGGATATTTCTAACAGTTGCCTGAGCAAAATTCTTCTATACTTTTGGATCATAAAAAAGAGAGTTACTTCACAAACCAGTGTTTGCTGCCTAGGCCACCAACCTGAGTATAAGGGAACAGGATTTAGTGTCATATATATAAAAAAAGACATTTTACAGATACATGAAAGGGGAAAAAGCACAGGATTATCCTTCTTTGGTGTAATGGGTCTTTGTTTCTTTTAAAACAGGAAAGATGCAAAGAATAATGAAGTATCCTTCTCTCAAATTAAGTAAGTCTCTGGAGTTATAAGCTTTATTTTAAGACATTTAATACCCCACTCTGTTCAGTGACAATCTTAAGAATTTTTGATGGAACTTGCTGTCGTTTTTTCTGATTGACACATTTGGTCATGATCATCCAGAAGTTCTTGTAGCTTTGTTTTCAAGGAATCTATGTTTATTAGTCTCCTGAAACTAGTAGCTTCCTTGCCTTGTTCTATTGTGGCAAGTAAAACCTTACTTCCATATTCTGCCAATAAATATATGTTTTGTGATTTTTAAGAAAATAAGTGGGTTATCAGTATGTAGGAGAAGACCTTGTTCAAAGTCACAAAGCCAATCATTTGCATGAGAGGGTCAGGAAGGGAGATTTTCTGGTTTACATTTTAGTATCTTGTAAATAACATTATATTGACCTTCCCTCCAGTGTTTATAGTATAGTTTTTGTTCTTTTGGGAAGATGTTTACTATCATTTCTTGAGTCATGATTGAGTCAGTGTTTCTAATTGCTTTTTTTTTTCTTTCTCTTTCTATGATGAAGACCTAAAAAGTGAGTGGCTGCTTTAATTTTTTAATAACTTATATTTTCCTATTTTGAGCATGAACTTTATTGAAGGTAAAAAAAAGTCCTAATAAGTTGTTCTGTTTTTGTAGATCCAAATTAATCAAAGTGGAGAATTTTGAGGCCTACTTTAAGAAACAACAAGCGGACTCCAACTGTGGGTTTGCAGAAGAATATGAAGTACGTGGTTGGAAATCATGTGGTTTTAATTGCTTGACCTTTCTTCCGAAAGTTGGAAAACTGCCCTTTTTTTGTTTCACCGGGAAGCACTACCGTCAGAGGCGGCCCTCTTGGAGGGGAGAGGTGTTCCTGCCTGTCCCCCCAGGGGTCCCACTGTGGCCCCCTGGGCTGTGAGCACTTAGATGTACCCTCCCTCCTCCTGCTTACGGTTTGTGTGTTTAATCTCATTAAGAAGTGAATATTGTATAGAGAAAGGGAGAGAAAATGGGCCATTCAGTCTGAGGGCTGTTAACTGGAGAGATTAGGAAACTTTTGGGGCTGGCATGGGGTCTATGTGGCCCAGGCGGATTCCTGAGCGTTGTGTGAGGTGCTGCGGAGTTTTTGTATTGCCGTCCCCATGTGCTCTACCCCCCACCCCAGCAGCCCAGAGCCCCTCTCTCAGAATGCCCTGTACACTCACCCTCCCTAACCCTGCTGTCTGCCGCTGTCTGTGCCTTGATTGAACCTACTGACCATTTGCATGGGCTTCCTGTGGCTGCCTTAACAAATCACCAGAAACCAGTGGCTTGAAAATAATAGAATTCTCTTGGGGTTCTGGAGGCTCTACTAAGTCCAAAGTCAAGGTGCCTGCAGAGTAGTGCTCCCTCCCACTCTCTGGGGGTGGGGGGACCCCTTCCTTACCTTTTCCAAGATGCTCGTGGCTCTGGGTGTTCTGTGGCTTAGGGCTGAGTCAGGGCAGTCTCTGCTCCTGTGGCCTCCCCCCACCCATGGCTCCCCTCTGGGTGTCTTGGGTCAGCACACTTGTTATTGGATTTGAGGCCCACCCACATAATCTGGGATGATCTCATCTCAAGATGCTCAATTTAAATACATCTGCAGACTCTTTTCCAAGATAAGCTCACATTCCACAGGTTGCAGGAGTTGCCACGTGGGCCTGTCTTTGTTGGGGCCGCCATTCAACCTCAAATGGGGCCGCATGACTCAAAGCACAGCTGAGGAGGCCTTAAGTTCTCCCTTTGTGTCTGTTTCATCTGTGATGTGTAGCCTGTCACCGATAGTCAGCGTTTATTTAATTCTGTCTTGTTGTAACAATAGTTATTTCTCCCTACACTCCGCTCCAAGGTTCTAAGCTCCTTGAAGGCAAAGGGTTATCCTTCTGCTTTTATTTGAACCTCTGCATTAGTTTCCAAGGGCACCTCACACTGGGCGGCTTAAAACAGTAGAACGTTATTGTCTCACAGTCCTGGAAGCCAGTGGTCCAAAATCAAGGCTTGGGCAGGGCGGTGCTTCATCCGAAGCCTCTAGGAGAGGATCCCACAGGGCTGCAGCTGGCTTCTGGAAGCCCCAGGCATGCCTGGTTTGTGACAGCCTAACTCCTGTGCCCTTCTTCATCTTAGCACGGCTCTCTCCCCTTGTATATCTGTATCTTTGTGCCTCTTCTCCTCTTACAAGGACATTAGTCCTGTTGGGTTAAGGGTCTACCCTCCTCCAGTATTGACCTCATCTCATTTTGACTACAGTGTGAAGACCAAAGTTCCAAATAAGTCTGAATTCTCAGGTTCCAGGGGTTAGAACTTCCAGCCTATTTGTTTGGTAGATGCAGTCTAACCCAAAGCACCTCTGCATTCCCACTTTGTGCTGTCATCCTCGGTGCTCAGTAGAAAGAATATCTGGACACTCAGTAAACGGACACCTCCTTTGTTTTGTTTTCAGGATCTGAAGCTTGTTGGAATTAACCTACCCAAATATGCTGCAGAAGCAGCTGAGAATAGAGGAAAGAATCGCTATAATAACGTTCTGCCCTGTAAGTTGTTTTTTTTTCCACACGTCCTTCCCTTTTCTCTGTCACTGGCCACCACGCCTCTAACAGTAGGGGGCAGTGGGATCAAGGTACTGACTAGCCACATCTGCAGTCCTTCCTGGGCCGCCCTGTGGTGGGCTCAGCCCTGTATTTAGGCATGTTCTTTTGAATCCAGCCCTCATGGGAACCTTCTGAAGACGGTAGTACAATATTCATTTTGCAGATGAGGAAGATGAGGCACAGGGTAGCTAGGTGATCTGTCCAGAGTCACACAGCTGGCCATAGCAGGCCAGGCTTTGGATGAGATCTATCATTTCTTTCGAGGAAAGGGCCGGAGTCTGTGCTCTTACCCCTGTATCTTAAAGTCCCTTATTTCAGCTGCTATTGTTCTGGAAAGGAAGGGAGTAGAAGGAGGCAGGGAGTAATGCTTTTTTTTTTTTTTAAGATTTTATTTATTTATTTGAGACAGATGGAAAGAGAGAGAGCATGAATGGGGTGGTGGGGGAGGAGCAGAGGGAGAGGGAGGAGCAGGCTTCCTGCTGACCAGAGAGCCCGACTCTGGGCTCTATTCTGTGGCTCGATTCAGGGGCTTGAGCCCAGGACCCTGAGACCATGATTTGAGCTGAAGGCAGGTATTTAACCAACTGAGCCACCCAGGTACCCTGGGAGTAACACCAAATATGAATTTTATTTGAATTCACATTCTGAGAATTAACAAAGTCTGCCTAATGGATGGGGATAACAACAGATTGGGTTTAAAATGAAAATTATTTAGGGGCACCTGGGTGGCTCAGTGATTGAGCGTCTGCTTTTGGCTCAGGTTGTGATCCTGGGGTCCTGGGATCGAGTCCTGCAGTGGGCTCCCCACAGAGAGCCTACTGCTCCCTCTGCCTATGTCTCTGCCCCTCTCTCTCTGTCTCTCATGAATAAGTAAATACAATCTTAAAAAAAAAAGATAAAATGAGAATTATGTATTATATCATCCATTAAAATGAAATGTAAACCCTCCTCCACAGAAAGTTCTTTGTGGTCTCTCTTTTGGGTGGGAATTAAAGAAGTTATCAGTAGATTGCAGCTGTGTTCTGATTTTGCTGTAATTTATAGGCTCTGATGAGAATTTTTTTTTTTCTGCTGAGAATTTTTACATGAGGACATTTAGTGATATTGTCTTTTTTTTTTATTTGAAGCTGTGTTTTTCTTTCCTAGCCTAAGACATTAACTTCTGTTTAGATTCAGAATTTCTTAGCTCCTACATTTTCTCTTCATGCACCCTCCCCCCTACCTCTCCTTGTATTGACAGTGGACATTGACCCTTGTTCCAAGAAAAATGCTTTCAAAATCAGGTTGGTGGGCACTAAGGAAGGCACATGATGTGCTGAACACTGGGTGTTACATGCAACTGATAAACTACTGCATGCTGCAACTGAAAAAAAATTTAGAAAAAAAAAGTAAATACAGATTACAAAAACAACAACAACAAAAAAACCCAAAGAGCAAAAAAACCCTAAATCAGGCTGGTAGGATCTACATCACAACTGCCCTTCCACAGTTAGCTCAGGATCATTGGCCTGTTCTTGTGAGTGTTGCAGAGGTTTTCAGATTCAGAGTTCAGGTATTTTTATCCGGAATGTTTTAGACTGAAACTCCTGTTGGTAACTGAATTTAGAATTGTCCTGTTATTTTATCTAGGGGAAGATGAGATAGTATATAATCAAAGGCAGGAACGTAGGTGGTGCTGATTACTCCACCTGACATTTGAAATTCTATAGTTATTATTTTGTTTCTTGAGTTGGACAAGTTTGTGTGTGCATTTTTGAGATGATAGTATTTAGAAAACACAGGAATTTTGTGTTTTAGATCTTTCCACCCACAGTCGTCTTACCAATTCAGTTTACTCTTGAATTTGGTACTATTTGTAACGACATTTTTATGAGACTAGAGAAAGTACACAAACCTGGGTGTCTGCCTTGCCTTAGTGGAAGGGGCACTAGATTTTTTTTTTTAAAGATTTATTTATTCATGATAGACATAGAGAGAGAGAGAGGCAGAGACACAGGCAGAGGGAGAAGCAAGCTCCATGCCGGAAACCCGACGCGGGACTTGATCCCGGGACTGCAGGATCGCGCCCTAGGCCAAAGGCAGGCGCTAAACAGCTGAGCCACCCAGGGATCCCCAGAGGGCACTAGATTTGAATTCTGATTGCCCTTGACCAGACATCAGTGCTTAGAGAAGTCCCTTAAGCTCCCTGACCCTCAGTTTCCTCATTTGTGAAATAGGCACAAAAGTTGGTAGGGGTGGTTTTGAGGAATAAATAAAATTGCTCCGTGCATTCCCTGGCTCACGGCACACACCCAGGGTCGTTCAATAGTACAGGTTGGTGTTGTCTGGGAAGGTGATCTGGTGTGACTAAGAGCTGAGCCCTGGTGCCAGGTTGCCCGGGTTCAAATCCTGGCTCTGGTGGATAATTGCCTGACTTTTCTGTGCCAGTCATTCAGGCTGACCGTAGGGATTGAGTAAGGTCATCTCTTTAAAATGCCTTGCAGCACACCTTTGGGTTGTGACAGAAGCACCTGTGCCGCCATATTGTGTTTTTCTCTCCTGTGTGTAACTCTCCTCAGACATCTGGTTCTAATAATACCTTTTTTCTCTTGCTGTCAGATGACATTTCCCGTGTCAAGCTTTCCATTCAGACCCATTCAAGTGATGACTACATCAATGCCAACTACATGCCCGTAAGTGGGGAGCCATGTCCAGAGCACGGCTTCTTTGATGAAATCTTCGGGGGTCCTCTTTGTTTTTTTGACACTGAATTTGTGTCGCTTTCCATCTTCTAGGGCTACCATTCCAAGAAAGATTTTATTGCCACACAAGGGCCTCTACCCAACACTTTGAAAGATTTTTGGCGTATGGTTTGGGAGAAAAACATATATGCCATTGTTATGTTGACCAAATGTGTCGAACAGGGAAGGGTAAGTATCTTTTATTTAAATTATTAAGTTAAAAGGTAGTTCATTCATTTTGACTATGGTGAAAGGGTAAGTCTCTTAAGAAGCCTTTGTTTTTTTAAGGAAAATACTTCCCCAAACACCGGCACTTCTGTTTTTAGAAACTCATTTTCTGTCTTCTTTTCTAAGAGAAAAGTTTAGAAATCTCTTTCTCTTTTTTTAAAGTGTTTTACTGTTACTGTCTTTTGTAGGTAAGTATCAATGTTCTCTATTCATGAGGTGGCAGCTGCTGGAGTTACAAGCAGCAGGAGCAGGGTTAGCCCAGTGCGAAGCTCCTGGGGTGGGAGCCAGCACAGCTCCCGTTGTCTCAGCGCTATGAGTGGTCCCCGGCCCTTCTCTGAGCACCCAGCTTCTTCATCTGTGATCTCAGGGATCCCACCAGCTTTTTAGCACCAGCACCCTTACTCTACCCTAAATCTCAGACTTCTCCCCAGATAAGTCTCAGCTGCACCTTCTCCCCTTGTGATGGCCTAAAGTCCCCTGGCTGCTTCTACCCAAGATAAGATTTCATCTTGTAATAAAACCCCACGTTTCCAGAAATGCATCTAAGGAGAACTGAAAGGCACAGGCCGGCTTTAGAAGTTCTGTGCCTGAGGAATAGAACCTAATGTTGCTCTGCGCACTTTTTTGCTCTGGGTTTGTTACCTGGGGAATAGGAGTTCACACCCTTGATCAGTGCTTCTCAGACCTTATGGTACAAACATTAGGATCTCCTGGAGAGTGGTTTCGGTTCCAGAATTTCTAGTTCAAGGAGGGCTGTGGTGGGATCCCCAGAACTGCACTTTGGATAGCTGTCAGTAAGGCTTCTTTTGCTGGGTCTAGGATGCATGCTTGGAGTAGCTCTGCCCTAGGTGATTGTGGGAACCCATTGAAACCCCTTTTAATGTTCTTCATTTCACTTTAGCAGATGTTTATCCTGCCCCAAGTGTGTGTAAGGTGCTCTGGTAGGGGCTGGGGCTGGGAAAGATAACAATGAAACAGTAAGAAGTGGTTCCCATCTTCCATGGCTTGGGATACAGAAACTTGTGTTCTGCACCACTTCTTGGCATCCAGAGCACAGGCTCTTATGTAAACAAAAGCACTTTGTTTTTGAACGTAAATAAACTTCATGGTGCTGGTGCGCCCTGGGGCCTCGCATGTGGAACATTCTCAGAAATACCTGTTGTTGTTTATCTTAGGTCAGGAGAAAAGTGGATTTACTGGCTCTGTGGGAAAAGGGAGGGGAGCCAGTGAATTTTCTGCACCAGATACTTCATTTATGTTACTGCTTTTCTCTAACGACGGTCCTATATAATTATTGTATAGATGGGGAAACTGAGGCTCAGAGAGTTTAAGAACTTGTCCACAAGGTAGCAACAGAAACCTGACTGGGAAGAGGCTGAACTGAGAGCATCAGCTCCATGTGTGTTCTTTCTGGCAGCAGTGGTCTAGAAACTGGAATCCTTTAAAAAATACAGGTCCCAAAAAAAATAAAAAACAAACAAACAAACAAACAAAAAAAAAAAACAAAAAAAAATACAGGTCCCCAGCCAGAGTCAGAAGCTCCGGAATTGGGGTCTGGGCATCTGCTTTTTTTTTTTTTTTAAAGGATTTTATTTATTTATTAGAGAGAGAGAGAGAGAGAGAGAGAGAGCATGGCACACACAAGCAGGTGGAGGGGCAGAGGGAGAGGGAGGAGCCAAGTCCCTGCTGAGCAGGGAGCTCAATGATCCCAGGACCCTGAGATCATGACCTGAGCAGAATGTAGACACTTAACCCAAAGAGTCACCCAGGTACCCCTGGGCATCTGTTTGTTTATTTATTTATTTGTTTATTTATTTATTTACTTATTTATTACTGGTGTCCAATTTGCCAAAATATAGAATAACACCCAGTGCTCATCCCATCAAGTGCCCCCCTCAGTGCCCATCACCCACTCATCCCCACCCCCACCCACCTCCCTTTCTACCACCCCTTGTTCGTTTCCCAGAGTTAGGAGTCTCTCATGTTCTGTCTCTCTGATATTTCCCACTCATTTTTTCTCCTTTCCCCTATGATCCCTTTCACTATTTTTTATATTCCCCAAATGAATGAGACCATATAATGTTTGTCCTTCTCCGATTGACTTATTTCACTCAGCATAATACCCTCCAGTTCCATCCACGTCAAAGCAAATGGTGGGTATTTGTCATTTCTAATGGCTGAGTAATATTCCATTGTATACATAGACCACATCTTCTTTATTCATCATCTGTCAATGGACACCGAGGCTCCTTCCACAGTTTGGCTATTGTGGACATTGCTGCTATAAACATTGGGGTGCAGGTGTCTCGGTCTTTCATTGCATCTGTATCTTTGGGGTAAATACCCAGCAGTGCAATTGCTAGGTCGTAGGGCAGGTCTATTTTTAACTCTTTGAGGAACCTCCACACAGTTTTCCAGAGTGGCTGCACCAGTTCACATTCCCACCAACAGTGCAGGAGGGTTCCCCTTTCTCCACATCCTCTCCAACATTTGTGGTTTCCTGCCTTGTTAATTTTCCCCATTCTCACTGGTGTGAGGTGGTATCTCATTGTGGTTTTGATTTGTATTTCCCTGATGGCAAGTGATGCAGAGCATTTTCTCATGTGCTTGTTGGCCATGTCTATGTCTTCCTCTGTGAGATTTCTGTTCATGTCTTTTGGGCATCTGTTTTTAAAGCAAAACAAACCTCTCAGGGGTGAGTCAGATAATCAGGTTTGGAAGCCACCTGCAAGGACACATTTTGGAAAATGAGGGAGGGGAGGTGGAGAGGGGAGAAAGTGTATGAGTGTAATAAGTTGTTTGCTAAATTGGGCATTCAGATATTCTTGGAGAGCAGATGTTTCCGATTTTTATTTCTGTTTACATCTGCCCACTGATTTATAAAAATCAAAGACCTGGAGTGATTTGATTCTCTTTATTGGTGTATTTGTGTTGTAATTAGTGTGGATCTAAAAGTATTGGGAAAAGTCCTCATTTCTTCTAGGTGCATGGGGTTATGGGTCAGTCTGAATTTTAGTTCAGCGAACAGTTGTGGACTGGCTGCTGTCGGGGCCAAAGGGAGCTGGCTGGGCCTGTGTCCTCAAAGAAGGGACAATTGACTGTTCTGATTTAAATCCATTTTCATACAGAAATGGGGGCTCAGTGTAGGCCAGATCTTCTGAGATCTCAGGAAAAGCCAGAAACCTGAATTTTTATAAGAAACCACCAATTTTAAGAGAGTTGGCAATAATTGTAAATTAAAAAAAACAATTTTAGGGGTCAAACAGAACCTCACTGAAGGGCTGATCTAGTCTCTATGCCAGTTTTCAGTATCTGGTCTCCCTTTATGAGGCTTCAGTGGTGGCAGACGGTATGACCTGACTTTTTGTATAAAAATGCAATTTTATTGTAGACCAAATGTGAGGAGTACTGGCCCTCCAAGCAGGCTCAGGACTACGGGGACATAACTGTGGCAATGACATCAGAAGTTGTTCTTCCAGAGTGGACCATCAGAGACTTCACAGTGAAAAATGTAAGTAAGGGGCTGAGATGGATAGGTCTTAGATAAGAGGACCATATATTACGTGTGGGGTGATGCTTTTTAGGTTGATATTAACCCATATATATATATTTTTTGCATCAGAAAAAATTTTTTTGCTTTCTTCTTACAGGATGAAACTATCTACATACACTCGAAAGCAACCCTTAGCTTTACTTTCTTAAGAGGAATTTCATCTGTGTCTTTTTTTTTCCTCATTGAAGTGTAGTTGACAAATTGTATTATATCAGTTTCAGGTGTACAACATAGTGAATGACCCAACAATTATATATACTTTACATAGCGCTCACCACAATAAGCATAGTTACCATCTGTCACCATACGTTATTACAATATTATTGACTATATTCCCTATGCTGGACCTTTCATTGCCATGACTGATATATTTTATAAGTGGAATTTTGTATGTGTTAGTCTCCTTTACCTATTTCACACATCCCTTGACCCACTTCCCCTCTGGCAACCACCAGTTTGCCTTCTGCTTTTATCAGTCTGGTGTTTTTTTGTTTTGTTTTGTTTTTGTTATTGTTATCATATGTTATTCCTGAATGAAATGAATCTTAAGGGGATCCCTGGGTGGCACAGCGGTTTAGCGCCTGCTTTTGGCCCAGGGCGCGATCCTGGAGACCCGGGATCTAATTCCACGTCGGGCTCCCGGTGCATGGAGCCTGCTTCTCCCTCTGCCTATGTCTCTGCCTCTCTCTCTCTCTCTCTCTCTCTCTCTCTCTGCGTGACTATCATAAAAAAAAAATCAATTAAAAAAAAAAGAAATAAATCTTAAGAGCGTGGCTCAGCAGCAGTAACTGTTCCTTTTACACTTTCCTGTAACTTGTCTATAGAGTTTTTGTTGCAAACCAAGCCCCTTTTGGGTTAATTGGTTGCAGATATGACATCAGGAGTGGCAATTTGCAGTTGGGAGCAGTATCTGAGAGCAGTTACATTAAAAGGATTTCTGGGCATATACACATGGCCTCACCCCCCAAAAACTATGAAAAAAAAATCCAATTACATGATGTAGGCACTGTAGGAAGTCAGATTATGGTGTCCTTTTTCTTAAAGATGTTTAGAAATGGAGGCAATGAAGCCATATAGATATCTTTTGGTGGGTGTGTAAATTGGTATAACCCTTTGCAGTTTATATTAGAAGCATAAAAATGACCATTCTCCTTTGATCTGGTGGTTCCAAGTTTGAGACTCTATCTGAGAGAAAAAATCTGAAATATAGGACAAGGCGTATTACTCACAAAGAGGAATCTCAGCATTATTTATAATGGAGGGAAAATTTGGAGCTTGTTCAGATCTCTAGCTTTCAGAGAATAGATAACTAAACTATAGGTTATTTAGTCGGTGTATCATTATCTAGCTATTAGAAGTGATGGCTGTATAGACTGCATAATTACCATGGAGGAATGTGAGATTGCAGTTGAGTGAAACATACTAGGTGACAAAACTTTACGTATACTGCGAATAGTACACAAAAGCAAAGCCTGGGAGTAGATTCAGGGGAGTTGACTTTTATGGCGGTTTGGTGGGATAGGTTCTAGGTTATGAGAATTATCCTTGAGGATTCCATAAGTCATGGATATATAGGGTAGCATATTAAGTATTAATTCTTTATTGATTGCCATGCCTCCAAGGTCCTGGCTTCAATTAAGCACATTCTGGACATGCTGTCAAAGCTGTTATCACACACCGATGCAACTCATAGTGTTGAGAAACTCTCATAATATACTTATTTCTATAGATTTCTCCTATTTTAAAGACAGGATTTTCCTCGGTTGCTTTCAGTACTTGGAGTTCACCCTTGCGGAGGAGAGTGATAGGTGGAATTGCCCACGTCATTTAAACAAAATTACCATGATGGTTATACTTTTTGTTAACTAAACTCCAGACTTCATTTGGGTTTCACATTTTTCCACTAAAGTGCTTTCCTGTTCCGGGATTGAATGAATCCAGGATACTACATGGCATTTAGTAAAATACTACTTTTTTTTTTTTTAGACAACTTTTTAGTTACACAAAATGCATGAATATATTTTCCTTTTTAAAAAATACTACATTATTGGGATCCCTGGGTGGCGCAGCGGTTTGGCGCCTGCCTTTGGCCCAGGGCGCGATTCTGGAGACCCCGGATCAAATCCCACGTCGGGCTCCCGGTGCATGGAGCCTGCTTCTCCCTCTGCCTGTGTCTCTGCCCCCCCCCTCTCTGTGACTATCATAAAATAAATAAAAATTAAAAAAAAAAACTACATTATTTATTTGAGAGAGAGGGAAAAGGGAGCATGAGCAGGGAGAGGAGCAGAGGGAGAGGGAGAAGCAGATTGCCCCGCTGAGCAGGGAACCTGATGCAAGGCTTTATCCCAGGACCCCGGATCATGACCTGAGCTGAAGGCAGATGCTTAACCAACTGAGCCACCCAGGCACCCCTATATTTTCCTTTTCAAAAGTAAGAACACAGCAGATAGAACTGAAGGTTTCTATTGACTGCTACCACTAACCTGAGCCCCCTTGCCCCTCTGAAGAGATAATGCTGAAAAGTCTGACCTCCCCCAGCCCCTTCCTCTCCTGTTATCTCTCATAGCTACTTTCCTTCTTTGGTTGAATACTTTTGGTTACATTTGTGAATGTCACCTTTGTGTGTATGAGACTTCATTGTCCCCTCTCTCTCACTGCCTTTTTTCTCTACTCATCTCCATATTTTGAACAATGTGAATGCACTGCTTTTTAACGTATGTATGTTAACAAAATAAGCTTCAAAAGTTAGCTCTCATAAAGGAGATGGAAACGCCTACAGTCCAGATGTAGGTAGAAGGCTGAGGTCAGTGCCCAGGGGTGGGCATAATGAGCCTAGTAAATCGGGACAGGAATGGTCCAGCCTGGGTGGAATTCTCATAATAAAAAAGTACATGCTTTGGTTTGTAGTAGGAAACCAGTCTGTGTCAAAACTAATTCTGTTATAACAAGATCCACTTCCTATTGTCTGTCTGATGTTGAAATAGATGTGTTTTTTGGAGAATGGGTGGCAGCGGTGGTGGGGGGCGTCTTTTCTCAAACTCCTATAATTCTAAATATTTCCTTAGTGCTCATGAGTGACCTGCTGTTTCATAAGACTCCAGAAGGCATGTGGATTGTGAGACAGCTCTTGCCCCAAAGGTTCTGATTATCAGAGTTGTATTGGTGTAATATATTTTTGGTTCTCTGGTTGATGACATTCCCAGGTGGGCTCAGGGAACGGCTTCAGGAGCTCTAAGGAGGTGTAGGTATAATAAGCCGGTGAGGGCATTACTGGCAGGCCCCTGTAGTGAGAAGGGAAGATCTGAACTTGGGATCAGAGGATGAGGCACTTGTGATTCATCTGAGCTGGATGTGGGGGAGTCGTTTCACTTGTCAGAATCTTTTTATTTTTTAAAGATTTTATTTATTTATTCATGAAACACACACACAGACAGGCAGAGACATAGGCAAAGGGAGAAGCAGGCTCCCCACAAGGAGCCTGAGCAGGACTTGATCCCAGGACCCTGGGATCATACTCTGAGCCAAAGGCAGATGCTCAACTGCTGAGCCACCCAGGCATCCCTCTTGTCGGAATCTTTAAAGGAGGATGATAAACCCTTCTTCTTGGGCACATTGTGGGATTTGATGAGCATGCCAACATCTGTAAAGCACTTTATCAGCTGTTGTACCGATCTGAAATTGTACTTTTTAGTTGTAACCACTCCTGTTTAGATGCCGGTCAGCCAGCCCATGTAGCTCGGCATCCAGGTACTGCTCCATTTCACTTGGCCTTCTCTATGACTAACCTCTTTTCTTGGCTTTTAGATTCAGACAAGTGAGAGTCACCCCCTGCGACAGTTCCATTTCACCTCCTGGCCAGACCATGGTGTTCCGGACACCACTGACCTGCTCATCAACTTCCGGTACCTTGTTCGTGACTACATGAAGCAGAGTCCTCCCGAGTCACCCATTCTGGTTCATTGCAGGTATACAGATGGCACTCCGTGTGTGACGATTCCAAATGTCATTGTAAATGTGGACAATTTAGAGAAGCAAGGCCTAAGAGGGAATGCAATAAGCATTTGAAAATTCAAGAAAGTTTTGGATAAGGGACTGTGGACTTATACCCCGGTCCCTGAGACTTTAGAACAGGGATTGGCAAACTATAACCCAAGGGCCAGATCTAGTAGCTTGCTTGTAGTTTTTTAAAACTATAGTGTATTCCAATTTAATATTAATAAATATTTATAAAATATTTCAACCTTACAAAAAGATAGGGAGTAATAATCTAATAAAGTATATATATATATGAGGTCATGTATGTTTTTTTTTTGCTAATAATATCTTACACATATAAAGTCTCTACTTATCAGTCTCCTTGTTATACAGTTAAACATGGTCTTAGAGTTGATCTGAATCATTCCTTTGCATGCTTTCATATTTCATTTCATATATATCTATGGTTTTATATAGCTTTAAGCTTTTACCAGATTTTATGATGTAAACATCATTCTGCAACCTGCTTTCTTCATTTAGCATTTTGGTTTGTTATTTAACAAAGTTGGAGCACAGAGTTCTAGTTCATTTTATTCATTTATTAACGAATTCTTTTTCTGGCACACAAAAACTGTATGTAAGTTAGTGTATACAAGTTTATGAGTTTGGAGGTCTAACCTGTGAAACCCTCACCACAATCGCTTTGGCTGCCTATTTTTCTAAATAAGGTTTTATTGGAACAGAGCGATGCCCATTTGTTTACATATTGTCTATAGCTACTTCCATGTTATAATGGCAGAAAGAGACCACTTTGTCTGCAAAACCGAAGATATTTATTATCTCGTCCATTATAGAAAAAGTTTGCCACCCCCTCGCCCCCACTCTAGAACAATAATACACTAGCTTTAAGCTAAAGACATTAATTTAGGACAGAAGAAAGGAGGGGCTTAGTGGCCCTCTGGGGAATAAGTTGATGAAATTTGCCATCCTAGGTTATGGTGGTAACTTGAATGAGACTGAGATTCAGGAAGCTCTGGGAGGAGATTTTTTTATGGTATTTGATTCAAAATCACTTGCTGAGGTTTCAGTTGAGCAAATGGTTACTGATCCTGGGCATTGATAGTGGAGGACAGCAAGATATATGTACAAATTGGGGACATTTGAGAGTTTTATGTTAGAGGTAACCCATGGTGATATGCCCTTTTCTTTTTTTCTTCAGTGCTGGGGTTGGAAGGACGGGCACATTCATTGCCATTGATCGTCTTATCTACCAGATAGAGATTGAGAACACGGTGGATGTGTATGGGATTGTGTATGACCTTCGAATGCACAGGCCTTTAATGGTGCAAACAGAGGTAAGGCCAAGCTCTGTGTTTGGCAGACTGCTTTTTTCAATCCTTTTTTTTTTTTTTAAAGATTGCATCATGTCACATACTTGGGTTAAAACATTTCACCTTTCTGTAGCTTTCTGGCTCTGGCCTGTGAAGTAACACTGGACTTCTTTAAGATCCTTAACTGATGTGTGATTGAATGATCTGATACAGAGAGGTGGTGATACTGATAGCAGCAATGGAACTGTGCAAACCAAGATAATTTCAGGATTCCTTACCTTGTGGCCACTAACTCATCAAATAATCTTAGCAATTCTCTGAACTTTGGCTTCTGGGTTTCAAAATCATAAAACTAGCATTATCATGCTTTGTTTCTAAGAAGGCCTGACCATCCTTAAAATAAGCTCATGAATGGACTTATCAGATGTTAATGATGTGAATGAAATGGCGTAATGTCACCATGTTAATATGGCTGTGTATCCTCATCCAACCATGCAGATGTTACACAGTGTCAATTATCATAGCTACAGGGGGATGGCTGGCCAATTGAGAAGATTAATGTTTAATATCTACAATGTCAGTTGGGTAAGACCATTGAATTCGGCTTTCCCTGAAATGTTCCTTGATAAATATTGTTTTTGAGTCATGTTCTCAACAACTATATTGGGAAATAGCCTTCCTGGATGCTGTAGGGGTGAATGTGCCTTGACAGGACGAGAGCAGAATATTTTTTTTTTTATTTTTTTTTTGAGCAGAATATTTATTTTGTATCAGGCTGTCACCCGGTACCAATTTAGAACTCCATGAATATGTGTTGTGTTTTTGAGTCTAGCAGGGAATGTGCTGGAGGCCTGGGTACATTGTGTGCTTTGGAGTGAGTGGCACGTTTGTAGAAGAAAGAATGGAATTCGCCTGTGTGTTGGTCGGAAGAAAGATTTTCTTTTTTCTGCTCTAATTATGGAGAGTAGGACTCTATCTTTTATCCCCTTTTGAGAAACACAGAAATCTTACATCTGCCTACAAAATCTTTTCTTGTTTCTTTTTTTTTTTCTTTCTTTCTTTCTTTTTTTTTTTTTTTTTTTTTTGGTAGTTTGAAAACGTGTAAACTTGTTCATCTTTTTTATTTTTAAACATTTTTTTTTTTAGAGAAAGAGAGTGTGTGTGAACTGGAGCTGGGGTGGGTGGGGTTTGGGGGAGGGGCAGAAAGAGAATCCTAACTAAGCAGGCTCCATGCCTACCCTGGAGCCCCACACAGGCTTGATCTCACCACCCTGAGATCATGACCCACGCCGAAATCAAGAGTCAGATTCCTTAACCGATTGAGGTATCCAGGTGCCCCCAAAAATGTGTTCATCTTAAAACACCTGATAAAAGAGGATATATATATATATGCATATATATGGAATATATTTTTCTTTATTACTTTTTCTTCCCCAATCCTATTCCCTAGAGGTAGCCAATGCTTACAGTTTGTATATATCATTATAGGTTTAATTACATCTATAGAAAACACATGTACACACATAGAGTTTTTTTTTTTATGGTTAGTCCTTTTTTTTTTTTTTTTTTGGTTAGTGCTTTTTAAAAAAATCTGAGTTGACATACAATGTTACTTTAGTTTCAGGGGTACAACATAATGATTCAACAAGTCTATGTTATGTTATGCTCACCACAAGTGTAGCTGTCATTTATTAACCTACAAAGCTGTTATAGTACCACTGATTATATTCTCTATGCTTTCATTGTCATGGCTTATTCATCCCATAATTGGAAGCTTGTGCCTCTCACTCCCTTTCCCCCCATTTTGCCCTCCCACCCCCCCCAGCAATCACCAGTTCTCTGTATTTAGGGGTCTGTTTCTGCTTTTTATTTGTTCGTTTTGATTTTTAGATTCTATGTGTAAGTGAAATCATATGACATTTGTCTTTCTTTGTCTGACTTCACTTAGCATAATACCCTTTAGATCCACCCATGTTGTCACAAGTGGCAAGATTTCATTCTTTTTGATAGCTGAGTAACATCCCATTGGAGATACACACTACAGCTCCTTTATCTGTTCATCTGTCAGTGGACACTTAGGTTGCTTCCATATCTTGACTACTGCAAATTGTACTGCAGTAAACAGTAGGGTGCATCTGTCTTTTTAATTTTTTTAAAAGTTTTATTTCTTTATTCATGAGAGATACACAGAGAGAGGCAGAGACATAGGCAGAGAGAGAAGCAGGCTCCATGCAGGGAGCCTGAAGTGGGACTCGATCCCAGGACTCCCAGGATCACGCCCTGGGCTGAAGACAGACACTCAACCGCTGAGCCACCCAGGCATCCCCGATATCTGTCTTTTTAAATTAGTGTTTTTATTTTCTTTGGGTAAATACCCAGGAGTGGAATTACTGGGTCATAATGGTATTTCTATTTTTAATTTCTTTGAGGAACCTCCCTACTGTTTTCCACAGTGACTGCACCAATTTACATTCTATCAATAGTGCACGAGTGTTCCCTTTTCTTCACACCCTTGCCAACACTTGAGTAGTGTTTTGTCTTTTTTTCCTGCCATTCTGATAGGTGTAAGGTGATATCTTACTATGCTTTTGATTTGTATTTCCTGGATGATGAACGATATTGAGCATCTTTTCATGTGTCTGTTGGCCATCTGTACAGCTTCTTTGCAAAAATGTCTATTCAGGTCCTCTGCCCAATTTCTAATCAGATTTTTTTTTTACATTGAATTGTATAGCTTCTTTATATATTTTGGATATTAGCAAATGGAGTATTTTTAAAAAATTGGATCCTATTTTATATATAATGCTGCTCCATGATTTTTTTTTTCTCTTATGTCATCATGGGTATCTTGTTTTCTCTTTTGCCATCATGGATACCTCTTCTTACTCTTTCTCTTTTTAATGGCTACCTGCAGATTCTGACAAGCTTGCCTGAGGGTTGTCCCTACCTCTCTACCCCGCTTATCCCCTTCAACCCTTCCCCTCTGTTGAGAATCACAGTTTACTCCTTATACCGCACCTGCTAGCTGAACAGGAAAATCTTGTTGGCCTTTTTCTTGTTTGAATGTACATGTGCATTATTTCCTCCACATTCATTGTCTTTGCTCTTCCCCAAGATTCTGGGACTCCTGGGGGAGGGGAGGTGTGGGGAGTATGTCCCTCTGGTTAAGAATGATTGATGATGAGAATCTTGCTCTCTGTGGTTTCAGATTTCATCAGAATATGGCAGCCTCTTGATAAATGTGAACTTGAAGTGTTCACTGTGGGGGTTGGTGATAATCTGAAAAGAAACTTGGATGCTGATAATCTCTGGGACCTCTGCTCATTTGCTTTCTCTTTTTACTCTTTTAATAGGACCAGTATGTTTTCCTCAACCAGTGTGTTTTGGATATTATCAGATCCCAGAAGGACTCAAAAGTAGATCTCATCTACCAGAACACAACTGCAATGACAATCTATGAAAACCTTGCACCTGTGACTGCTTTTGGAAAGACAAATGGTTACATCGCCTAATTCCAAAGCCAAACCTTTCTGGAGTTACCCAGACTGTCACACCCACAGCAAAGGAAAATGCCCCAATGTGGACATGTTTTTATATGTCTAATATCTTAATTCTTTGTTCTGTTTTGTTAGAACTAATTTGAGGGTGTGAAGCTGCACATGTAAAACATGACATGAGAAGTTGGGGCTGTCAGGGGCTGTGGATGGGTGGTGAGCTAATCAACTACATTCCTGATTACCAATGGGATGAGTTCACTTTTTGTTTTTTTTTTTTTTCCTTAAGAATTATGGAACACCAGGAAAAGTGAGCTATGATTTTTTGTTTTCCTTTTTCAAAACAGATTCTTTTTAAAAAAGACTATTTTATATGATTCACATGCTAAAGCCAGGATTGTGTTGGGTTGAATATATTTTAAGTATCAGAGGTCTATTTTTACCTACTGTATCTTGGAATCTAGCCGATGGAAAATACATAATTGTGGATGATTATCATATAGGGAGGGGTACGTGGTGCCTCTTCTGCCTGGGTTTTCTATTTGAACATGTGCCTTTTCTGAATTATGCTTCCACAGGCAAAACTCAGTAGATATCTCTATTTTTGTATTGAATCTCATAATTGGAATATACGGAATATTTAAACAGTAGTTTAGGATTCAAGGTTGAGCCTTCTCAGTAACATTCCTATTCTCATTTGACTAGAGGAGGCCTCCCCTGACCCTTCCACATCCCTTCTCCCCTGTTTTGTGCTCTATTCTTTCTTCTCTTTTCCCTCCCACTTTTCCCCAAAGACACTTCTGTTGGCCACATTTTCAGCCCATTGGTTGAGTGAGAGTGGAAGCCAAGTATCACCTTGAGAATTTCTAGGGTGGTGGGGAGCGAGGAGCAGAGGAACCCTACAGTGACATAATCTCCTTTTCTCATCCCTGTTTTATCCTTTCTCTTGTTTCTGTATTTGGTAAGAAGGATTATTTAAAGGTGCAATATGTGACTTAGTGATTCATGATGCTCTAGGTTTTTAGTAATGTTTTACTCAGGTTGGCATTTTATGTGTATCTGTGCGTCCGTGTATATGTGTGTGTGTGTTTAAAAGCGTGGCAATCTGTGAACACTTCAGTGTGAAAACAGTGTCAGATGAATCCCTCCTCCCTCAAAGTCCACTGGCTTTAGTCTATCTGCAGTGACACACATCCGTATCTACTGTATATATATATACTAAACTCTTAAAACAGTCATTCCTTTGAATTGAGGTGTACAAAGTTTTGAATTTGTATCAAAGATGTAATTATTTTTAAAACCTCTTTTCACTATACTGCTGCTGTAATGACTTTGATTTTTTTTAATGTAGATTAATTTTGTTTTTTTGCTTCAGGTGTGTATCCACCAAGAATTTCAGAATTTATGTGGATTTATTTTATTGGTACATAATCTGTAAACTTCTCAAGGCATTAACATGAAAGGATTTGTTTCTTTTTATTTTATATTGTGGCTCAGGTTATATTTTGAAGAAATTTTGAGTTTATCCTGCTATAGGCAATGAAGGATCTAAGGTCTGATGAAGGAATCAACCAAGTCCCTGGAATCCTGTGGCCATTTTCCACAGTAATAAATCCTGCTGTAAACTTAGGACAGTTGTGTCCTAGTGAAGATGGGAGCAGGGTCTTCTCCGGGTGCCCTGGTCACCTGGGGAAGCCTGTCTCCTCACCCTGCCATGTTCCTCAGTATGCTGGCACTTTGAGAACTGACCGGACATGTGAGTGGGTTATGAAGGGTGAACCACAATGTACTGGAAGCCCTTGATTTGGTTCAGAGGTTTAGTGCTGTACAAGTGCTGTACACGTCTTTTGTCCCCCTTTCCCCTTTGAGGTACTGAAAGGATTGAAAAGGCGAGGTGGCGGTGGTGTCGTGTCTGGGGAGAACTCACTTCCCACATAGAAATTGCACTTTTTGCCGAATCCTTTGCTCTTTTTCGTGACAAACAGTTCACTCAGCATCAGGCCCTTAAAGGAATGGGTTGTACAGGCCTGGGCGGGCCCTCCTGACTCCTTTAGTGGGGCTTTTGGCTCTTTAGGTCTGCATCAGGGAAGCCAAGCCATCCCAGGCTGCTGAGTGAAGCTGGGTTTGGGCCAATTGCTTGCAAACCTCCATGCTGGTCTGGCCCTCGGTGCACACAGGTCTCAGAGAGTTCCATGATTGCATTCGGAGGCCCCTACCCAGGCAGGCAGCAGTTCTGTGGGTCACACCCCTCTCCACTTCAGTTGTTGGGAAGCCACTGGGATGGGTGTGAAGGCATCAAGTCCAACAAAGATGCTCTGCCAAGTGTTGCCTATATCCCTTCCATGGAGAAATCGGAGGGAGGGACTTGGCTCTAAAAATGCCTTTAAAAGGTTGAAGCAACGGTAATTATAAACATATTGTATAAAAACACACAGAAAAAAAACCCAGAAACCGTCCTCCCTTCTGCATGATACGGGTTTGGGAAATGAGCAGCAGCCTCAGCAAGCTCACTCTCAATACCATTCCAGCCCTGGGAAGAAGGCTTGTGGGGAGAGGTCTGGATTCCACATGGCAGGTCACACGAAGGTCATGATGCTTCTCTGCATCCTGAAGAGGGCTGGGTTTGGGGCCGGTGGGGGTGGTGAGGGTATTTATAGCACAGTGACTGAAAAGGGAAGATAATTCTGTAAATATAAAGGACACATGGGCTGGGGTTTGGCCTTAGAAAAGAGAAGGTGCTTTTGAGCTCCTGCCCTAAAGCCTCCCAGAAACAGTGAACTAAAATTTGAGGAGTCCAGTGGAGATGCGGAGATGGTGTGATCATCCCTGCTTTACTATTTGCCAGTTGCACACAGAAAAAAAACAGCCCGAGTGGGATTAGTTATTAGTGAAAAGTTGGTGGTCAGTTGGTTTGGGGGAATTGGGTCATTGGTACCTTCTCCCAAGGGCAAGGATGTTTGCCTCCAAAGGTAAACCCAATGACACTTGGCACCAGTGGAAAATGTCATTTGGGGGTCTGTTCCCTGTGGGCATGGAGTGACCTCTGGCTGGACTTTTGGCCTATTTGACTGCACTGGATTTGGGCTTCATCGACTCAGAGGCTCCTGGGGGGTGGGGGCCAACTATGCAGCTGATTCACTTGCTTTTCATCTGAGATGAAAAAGCCAGATTTTCTTCTGCAGTGCTGGGTTGTGCTTAGTGAGCTAAACGCGTCTTGGCGACTAATGTTGATTTGCCTCAAAAGTCCAAGTTCTGAGTTTTCAGACTGTGTAGCCGTCAAGTGTTTGACATACTGTAGCTTTTTTCCCTTGGGGGCACATATGAACAGGATGTGTTGATATGGACTCTAAAACTGTAATTTTCTTGTAACTATTTTGGAATGATGCATATTTCTAATGTTTGTTATACTTGTACAGAGTATTGCTGTTGGTTGCTTTTTTTTTTTTTAAGGAAAAAAATGGCCTGAAAAAAATTTTTTTAAAAAGACTCACAAATACCAAATATAAAAAATGTCAACATGTTGTGCCTTTGTTTCTTACCCCCCCCCTCCAATTTTTACTCTATGTCCACCCCATTTCATTTATGAAGCAGTGTCTTGGCCTGCGTGTAACTGGGGAATCCTTAACAAACACATGTGTCCCTTGGGGATTTTCTACCTGTGTTAGTTTGCCCGGGGCCTGCCACAACGAAGTGCCACAGACCAAGAAGCTTAAACAACAGATTTTTATTCTCTCACAGTTCTAGAGGCCAGAAGTCCAAGAAGGTGCTGGCAGGTTGGTGTCTTCTGAGGCCTCTCTTCTTGGCTTGCATATGGCCACCATCTTCCTTTGTCTTCACACGGTCTCTTCCCTCTGTGTGTGTCTGTGTCCTAATCCTCTTTGTATCAATTGGGACACTTCATAAAGGATTATGGTTCACCTGAACAACTTAATATATACTGTAATTACCTCTTTAAAGACTCTATCTCCAAATACATTCTGAGGTGCTGGGGTTAAGAGTTTAACATATGAATTTGGGGGAGACAGAAGTTGGCCACAACACACATCCACGGAGACTTAAGAGGAGACTTTGGAAGAAGCGAGTGTGCATTAAGATGTGGCTGCGTGTGCTCTCATGGGCCAACAGATGGACAGACACTCCACTGCTGCCACTTGGTGGTAGCCTGCGAGCCCAGGACTTTTAGAGGATTTTTTTGGTGATTGATTTGGTGAATCCTAGAATGGCTGGGATACTTACTGTAGCAATTTGGACAGGTTTTATTTCGAGGTCCACCATACACCAGCCTCTGTCCCTCAGTGACTAAGGGTTCACCTGTGAACAACAGGAGCTTACATTCCGATGGGGGGACACAGACCAGTAACAGGGATATAAAATTTTTAGTGTGTGAGGTGGTGAAAAATATAAAGAAGCAGCATTTCATGCCCTGATGCACCAACTCGTGGCTTTCACACGATAAGCACTGCACATAACCTCTGCCAAGAAGGCTTTCTGCCATGCGCTAGCCACGCGCCCCCACGTCCCCCCATGCACCCCCCGCGCTTCCCTCGCATCCCCCGTTGCCCCCCACATCCCTCATGCTCTCACGCTGCCCCCATGTCCCCTCACGTGCCCCCCACGCTCCCCCCACGCTCACCCTCGCGTCTCCCCCACGCTCCCCCTGCGTCCCCCACGCGTGTCCCCCCGCGCCCTCCACGTCCCCCCCGCATCCCCCACGCTCACCCTCGCGTCTCCCCCACGCTCCCCCCGTGTCTCCCCCATGCTCCCCCCGTGTCTCCCCCATGCTCCCCCCGTGTCTCCCCCACGCTCCCCTGCGTCCCCCACGCGTGTCCCCCCGCGCCCTCCACGTCCCCCCCGCGCCCCCCACGCTCACCCTCGCGTCTCCCCCACGCTCCCCCGTGTCTCCCCCACGCTCCCCCCGTGTCTCCCCCACGCTCCCCCTGCGTCCCCCACGCGTGTCCCCCCGCGCCCTCCACGTCCCCCCCGCGCCCCCCACGCTCACCCTCGCGTCTCCCCCACGCTCCCCCCGTGTCTCCCCCACGCTCCCCTGCGTCCCCCACGCGTGTCCCCCCGCGCCCTCCACGTCCCCCCGCGCCCCCCACGCTCACCCTCGCGTCTCCCCCATGCTCCCCCCGTGTCTCCCCCACGCTCCCCTGCGTCCCCCACGCGTGTACCCCCGCGCCCTCCACGTCCCCCCGCGCCTCCCCACGCTCACCCTCGCGTCTCCCCCATGCTCCCCCGTGTCTCTCCCACGCTCCCCCTGCGTCCCCCACGCGTGTCCCCCCGCGCCCTCCACGTCCCCCCCGCGCCCCCGCGCCCCCGCCTGCGGGGAGGATGGAGACAGTTCCGAAAGCCCAGGAGCAGGCGCCCGAGGGGCGGCGGAAGCAGCGGAAGGCCTCCCGGGAAGCGCAGGTGGGCGGCAGACATGGAAGGAACCCACGGAATGCGGGGGGAGCCCTAAGGGCCCAGGTAAGAGGGGATCCAGGAGAAGCAAGGGCGCTGGGTTTGAGCAGAGTCTTGGGGCTGCTGGGCCGGAAACCACAGGCGTTAGGCGGGGAGGCGTGGCCGAGCCTGGAGGGGACGCGCTGGGGCCCCCGCGTGCAGGTGCACAGACCTACACGTTATCCCCGGAGCCACAGGCACAGACACACGCGCACCACGGACCCTCAGTATCTTCTCCGGATGGAAACTGCACTGTGGTCACGTGGCGCCCCGGGGGCTGCAGGGCAGGTCCCCCCAGACACTCGGCTGGCTAATGGGAGCGTGAGGGGGGGGGTGGAATTGACCACCCAGAACGGGGCGCATACAGCCCCGCAGTGGGAGACCCGATCCCCGCCAGCAGGCCCCACTAGGTTCTCAGCAGTTGTGGGTACTGGGGGGTCTCCCCTTGGGCTCTTCCAGGACCTTGCCTTGCCCACGGTGCTCGCTCTCTCCCTCACACTCCATCCTCCTCACCTCTCCCGGCTCTCTGGAGGCTACCACCGAATGCTGCTGGCCTGCTTGCCAAGTGCAAAATAACCAGTGACATTTCCAGCACATTCCTGAGCTGTTTACTGTGATGCTGTGTGAACGAAGGTCCATTTTCCAGGCGTGGTACCCCTGGTGTGTCCAGATCTGTCAGAGGCCACCGCTGTAATTACTTTCTGCATTAGGCAAAAAAAAAAAAACACAGATCTGGAGCATACTGCAATGTAATCATTCCTGGTTGAGGTTAGAAAGTATTTGGCTTTAAAAAAAGATGCCTCCAGACGGATGTGTGGTGGTATAAAGCATCGTGCAGGTCCAAGTTTGGAGGCCTGAGCGTTAGTTCTTCCCCTCCCCAAATGGACCGGGTGGAAATCACAAGCCTTCCTGCTGTGGATAGGCATTAGGTGGCAGAAAGCTAGTTTGCCCGAGTGTCAGGCGTGGAGTGTCTGGGGCCTGTTGAATGCACATCCCTTGTGCCTGAGCAGAGGTGGGTGTGGGTTGACATCTTCTTGTTAAAGCTGAGGAAGTTTAAAGACTCAGGCCCCTCAAGGGCATCTTTCCAAGGGTGTTTTGAGCCTAATGTCATCTGGCCTTCACACCCTTGACTGGGAAGTTTCCAGGCCTATGCTTATGTCTCAGACTCTGCCTCTCAGCAAAGAGGGGGCTTGAGGGTAAGTTTAGTAGAAAAAGAGATGACATTTCAATTTTTTGCATGTATGAGTGTGTTTATAATTTTGATGCTGTAACAGCATATTGCCTGGCATATAGGAAATATCCAATAAGTGGTAGCTATTCATTTATCAACTTAGATTTGTGTTGATCATCTACTATGGGCTGGTGGTGGGCCCTGGGTATGTACCTTTGTGAACACAATAGACATGATCATTGCTCTGGTGGAATTTTAGGGCCTATTGAAGAGACAGGGAATTTATTATTTTATTTTATTTATTCTATTTTTAAAAAACATTTTATTTATTCATGAGAGACACACAGAGAGAAGCAGAGACACAGGCGGAGGGAGAAGCAGGCTCCCTGTGGAGAGCCCAATGGGGGACTCGATCCCAGGACCCCGGGATCACGACCTGAGCTGAAGGCAGACGCCCAACCACTGAGCCACCCAGGTGCTCCAAGGTAGGAAATTTGGAAAGAATTACACCTACTTGCTGACACATTGAGTGAGAAAGGATTGGAGGGAGGGACATGGTGTGCCAAGGTCCTGAGGCAGGAATACATTTGGTACTTTGAAGAGTGATCAACTGAAGAGTAGTCAATTTCTTTTTTTTTAAGTTTTAATTTTAATTTCAATTAGTTAACATACAATGTTATAAATTTCAGGTGTACAATATACTAATCCATACATCGCCCTGGCCTCATCAAAACGAGTGCACGCCTTAATACCCATCATCTTAAAATAGTCCATTTCTTAAGCACACAATTATAAACAGAGCCCCTGTTTATAATTGTCTTCACACTATTGTCTATTATAAATGTCTATCACACTAGAGAAAACAGGATTTGTCTACACTCTATTCCAGAGGCCTTCACTAAGGATTATGATACAGTTCGGCCTCCTAGGCTATCTGCTCAGAGACAACATTTGGGGATGGAGGAATGCACCCATAGTCTTCATGCCTTGATTCAGGCCAAGTTGTCCCCAAACATTTCTGCATACACTGTTGGTTTGGGGGAGGCAGGAGGATGCAGGAAACCTTCATATTCTTCTCCTGACTTAAAAAAACAAAAACAAAAACAGGCTAAAATGCCAAAATGGTCCCACATTTAAGTGTTATCTGCTCCTAGCACTTAGTTTGATAAAGATTACTCAGGTATAGCCAAGAAACTGAGGTGTCATTGGAAATAAACTTCAGATAATCACCTGTGCTCTTATGTAAACTTTGAGAAAAGCAATTTATAGAACTCTAAGTAGGGAATAATCCCATTTAAAAAGTAGATAAATGGGTAGTTCAGTGGTTGAGCATCTGCCTTTGGCTCATGGCGTGATCCCGGAGTCCTGGGATGGAGGCTTCCTGCAGAGAGCCTGCTTTTCCCTCTGTCTCTCTCTCTCTCTTTCTCTCTGTGTCTCTCATGAATAAATAAATAAAATATTTTAAAAAGTAGATAAATGCATAGAAGAAAGGCACGGGGGGGGACACTTGACGGGATGAGCACTGGGTGTTATTCTGTATGTTGGTAAATTGAACACCAATAAAAATTAATTTATAAAAAAAAAAAGAATGTAAAAAAAAAAAAAAAAGAAAGGCAACTCCAGAATAATGGGATTATGAGTGGCTTTTGTTTTTATTTTTACTTGTCTACATTTTCTTTTTCTTTTTTTGTCTACATTTTCTGATGTCTCTCAATGACTACTCAACTAATTAAAACCTAATATCTTTTTCTCCTTGATGAAAAAAAAATAAGCTCTAACATACTTTAAAATATATTTGTCAAGTTTTACAAGGTTCTTTAAAATGAATGTGAACCCAAGGCTCTTTTTTGAGTACCTCCTGCCACTCGCAGCTTGTTAAAAAAGAAAGTTAGGTTTTTGGAC